TCCATTCTTAATCCACCAGTTTTGTGGCAATCTTGTCTTGTCACGCTTGCTGATTGTCATTGTTACGTCACAAAGGCTGTTCGCTGTTATGAGCAGTTTGGGAAAGACTGTTTCGTTAGCTTTCCGGTCAGTTACTCGGTCTTGATTTGTTCTTGCCGGTTTTATATTCGAAACGCTTGGGTTTTGATGACCAAATTACTTCGATGGCTAAATTTAAACATGCGAAATGCGATAGTTTTTTTCAGCGAAATAAAGAGTCGCTTTCGTTAAAAACATCAATAAGCGCTACTCAGGCTGTGGATGCACCGGTTACGTCAGTTACGTGACTACGTCTGTCACTTCTATTCCCGAAGATAAACTGATATTCAAAGAAGGGAAAACAAATGATCTTGGATTTTTTCTTAAGAAACATATCGATGCGGAGAGATACAGGCTTTTAACTTCGAATGGTCCGAAAAACGTGACGATTCTGGATACCGTTAGACAAAGTCGTCGTAAATTTTTCAAAAAATGGCTTGACGATGACAGATTTTGCAGTTGGTTAGTTTGCACCCAACTCTCTGATGGGGGTGAATTTTGTATTCACAAAAAGCCAGCTGAGTTGTTGAATCAGTTTGCTTATTGATAAACTGTTGTTGGTTTCGCGCTTGAAGAAGGGGTGTCTTAGACCCAATATAATTTCTAAAATTTTCAAATTTGCCCCCCCCCCCCCAAAAAAAATTTTGGGCTGGCTACGCCACTGGCTCAGTGAGTGTAATCCCTTCAAACTATTTTTAAGCCATTTCGTAGCTGACGTTTCCAGCTGCCCTTTAATTCCGCGTATAGTCCCAAAATTGAGCTTATCTTATCTGTAACTTGATGAAGTTGCAAAAGACGCAGTTTGTACGTAACCTTTGGCACCGCTTTTACTATAAAATGTTGAAGAAAATACTTCATACGGACTAGAGCACTATTGCTTATTTCGGATCAGCATCATATTGTCACAAGACTCACGACACGGCCAATTATTAAGGGCATAAAACGGCTTGTTAAAATTTAAAAAACCGACATTCCTAACATGAAACCATCAGTAGCCCAATTAGTAACACATTTTTGAACTGCCAATTATGGTTAATTTTTACCATTTGAGATTCCAGCCTACATATACGAATGCCGTCAATCATGTTTTGTCGACGTACGATTGAATCATCTCAGTGGCATACACGACCAGTATAACCCATGGAAGTTGGTCGCAATATAGTAAAGTTCAGTGTGGCGATCGGGTCGTGAATAAAGCGCCGTTAGGTCAGGTATTGAATAGTATAGCACCGTAGGTCAAAGGTAAGTTGTGGCAGATAGGTCAGTGGGTCGAGGATAGGTAGGTTGAGGGCGATAGGGCAGTGGGTCGAGAAGAGAAAGGTTGAGGGAGATAGAGCAGTAGGTCGAGAAGAGAAAGGTTTAGGGAGATAGAGCGGTGGTTCGAGGATGGGGAAAATAGGGAGATAGGGCAGTGGGTCGAGGATAGGGAGGTTGAGGGGGATAGGGCAGTCGGTCGAGGATAGGAAAGTTGAGGGGGATAGGGCAGTGGGTCGAGGATAGGGAAGTTGAGGGAGGTCGGGCAGTGGGTCGAGGATAGGAAGGTTGAGGGAGATATGGCAGTGGGTCGAGGATAGGAAAGTTGAGGGAGGTCGGGCAGTGGGTCGAGGATAGTTAAGTAGATGGAGATAGGGCAGTGGGTCGAGGACAGTTTTCAAGTAAACAAATAGCTCGTGGAGGCCCTAAATGTCTTTAACGGAGTCCTGAGGCTCCGTACGGAGCACTTTGAGAACCTAAAGTCTACGTAGTAGAATATAACAATGCAAACAACTAAGTAACGAATGTTTCCCCGACTTTTGATCTCTTGAATTCTTCCTCTCTACACTCTACCATTGCAAAATTATTGGTACCTATTTTGTCCTAATAACATCTTTAGTTGATTGAAATTTCAAACAATAATGAGTTGAAAAGAGTCTTTGCGATTTATAGGGTAGCGGTAGCTACTTTGGCAATCTTTTGGGCAATACTGCTATCTGAATACCCCGGCATTGCAAAAAAAGCTTTACAGGCATTTTTACATTTATGTGAGATCGGGTTTTCAAAATTGACAACTACAAAATCGCAGTAGACTAAAAGTAAGAAATACGTTACTTGAATAACATCACTTTCATTTTTAAATTTAATATCAACCTAAATTTAAAAAGTTTATTGTTACGTCAAATCCTGCACTTATGCTGATTGGCCAATATTACGGCAGTAAATAAGGAAGTCTAAACTCAGAGAGAAATCCATAATTATAATTAGAGTTTTATATAGTTGTTATAGCTAAATTCGGTACACAGACGCAATGCTTATATTTAATGTAAATTTAAATTGTTTTGCGACCCAGCGTGGAGAGCTGCGCGACCCAAAATTGGGTCACGACTCCGTATTTGCGGACCCCTGCTCTAGTCTACTTTATGTCTTATATAAAGTGCTCAATTCAGGAGAGTATTCAATACTACCTTCGTTTCGTTGGATCACTGTTGTTGAACACTTCAATCTGTATCCGTTATCTATGTCCTCTATGATTATATAATTCCTGTCTGAAAAAACTTAACCGTTAGCCATACACAATCGAACGAAATCAATTATCATTATGAGTCCATAGTTACTTCACAATGAAAACATTGTGAGACTATCTAGCGGTCTAGCACTGATATTTCCATGGTTACCTAGAGTCTAGACTGTGATGCAAGGTTACCATATTGTCTATTTACCGCCAAACTTGATAATATGCAACTCAAAAGTCCTGCTGCAAATTAACACAAATATATTTCTGTAACGTTTCGTCTGACCAAAATCAGACTTCCTCAGACAAGCAGTTTACAACGATGACAAGAAAAGAACAATCATGTGCTTTAAATACGACGATTATTTACGGCATGAAATAATTGTTCCGCGGTGTACTTGATCTCACAGTTTCACAAGTGTTCTAGGCTCAGCTCTTGATAGTCGGGGTGCTTTTACAATGATTTTTTGAAAGACGTTGAAGTTTTTTTAATAATGTTTCTAAACAACAACCGCAAAAAAAGAATTTAGAAGCACCATTGAAAATACTTCAACGCCTTTCAAAAAATCATTGTAAAAGCACCCCGACTATCAAGAGCTGAGTCTAGAATACTTCGAAAAATGTTCTAGAATCTAGTGAATCTTATTGTGAGATCAAATACACCGCGGAACAATTATTCCATGCCGAGAAACTATCGTATTATTTCGTCGCAATCTGTTTCTAAATATAAATACCGGTAATTGTTTATTCATTGTTTGGTCACAATTATTTTCAAACAAATTTATTTATCGTCGTATTTAAACCGCATGATTGTTCTTTTCTTGTCATTATTTCCGCAAAAACTCAATAGCTTTTGGCAAAAACTACATTATTGAAAAAATCCTCCGGCTTAAGACTTCATTTACACAAGAGTAATTGCATATCTGCATATCAGAAATAGTACGAATCTACAATTTCGCATACTTGTTCCCGCGTGATGTTCTATTAGAGGATGACTGTCGCTGATAGCCCAGTAATATTTAAACCCGGAATCAATTTTATGGAAAAAGTATTAACAAATTTACATCCCATGTGTTTATTTACGCCCTAAACTTTCGAATTCTTCGAGGGAATCGAAATAAGGACATATTTCTTATAATTTGATACCACTGACACCAGGGCGGATCATGACCTTTAGAGAGCCGGAGCACTTAGAATTCAGTGCCCTATATTTGGAAAATAAGGTACTTTTGAAGTATGCGCACCAAGATGTCTCACAATCTGAATCCTAACCTGATACACAACCTGAATTCAGGTTGTGCGCCATCTTGTTGCGCATACTTCAGGAGGTCTGAAAATAATGATAATGAGAATGTGTTACGACTTACGTGTTATCTGAATAAGTAAGTTTCAGTGTTTATTACTGATTGAAGGTCAAATTATGATTAATTTGCATATTTTTTTTTTGAACGTTGAACAGCATTCGCCCGTAACTTCAATACTGTTAAAAAGCGCCAGTCGTTAAATTATTGATTAGCATTTCACCGTAAATTCAACACTTTCAAAAAGCGTTACCCGATTAGGGATTGCTGATATACTGTGAGTTCTATGCAATACGTTTATTTCGTAAAACAATTGACTGTAAATATAATAAAATCTCGTAGACAATGCCGAACTGGAAAGATTCCGATCCTCCCAAAATAAAGGGCTCTTTGCATATATATCAGTGTCTTCTTGTGGAGAGCCTTATTTGAGTCGAAAGTACGTTGTATAAAATATATGGAACAAAATAGTCGTGAAGATTGTCGCTCCGGTTGTTTACTGTGATCGATTGCATACCCCTATTACTTCGCTCTGTCTTTCGTGTCCATATATTTGAGCATCTCTCTCTTGTTTTGATTTATATTGACTCTTGCATAGCGAAAATAAATATCTAAATCTATCTGTCGCCGTGAGATCGTTCTGGTGCTGTGTGTTTAAAGTGTGATTCATATTTAGCAATGGCAAATTCAAAATACTCCCACAGAATAATCCTCAATGGACGTTTCCCCGACCTTTGATCTGGCTCACATGTTCAAAACTATCATTTTCATTCAAAACAATAAACCACGTGCCGCTTATAGATACTGATAGCTAATTTTAAGCTAGTCTATCGCAGCATTTGCGGTATCAATTTTAGATTATTGTGACTAAACTAAAAGTTCTCAGAAGACACTATGACATTTAAGTTATTTGATTTACAACTATTTTTTGAAAACACAACTAGAAACTGACAAATAAAACACAAAACTACTAAAAAGAGGCAATGTTTACAATCACGATAGAATATCTGTCAGAGCGGCGGCATAAATTCCAATTGTTACCTCTTTGTTAACTTATTGCTGATTAGTAATTGTTACGGTAATAAACAAAGAAATCGATGCTCGAGGAAACACCCATCAACGATGTAATTGAAGTTTAGCAAAAAGGATTTTTCTAATTGCTAAGCAAAGACACGAAAGCAACAAACACACTAATTTAATGAACACCCATCAGTTCTATTGTGGTGCCGCATTCAAATCAAACTACTTGTTGGTCCTTAACACCAGAGTTTAATTAGGACTCCGACAGGCTAGATTTTCAGAATTGAATATGTCAAATCGGGAGAAACAACGTCTCTTGCCCTTGTAAGCGCAGTGATAATTTGGAAACCTCTGCCCCTTGAGCCTAATGCTGTGTCATGGTGATGGTTGCGATTTGCGGCATTTACACTTTGCAGAGCTCGCAGCGCATTCAGCAAAAGCTACCGTACCGGTACCGTATAAACAAAGGCGAAGCGGGAGGGACACGTTGCAGGCTTTCACCTTTTCATAATTCAGTAATTACGGGATGCTAAAAACGAGCTGCCAAGCTGTTCGAATTTGCTCACGTTATTGTCAGCGAGCGGAGCGACAATTTTCAGAGGTAAATAACTTTCCTCATGTATGTATGTACACAGCATACCGGTACCGTATATCTCTGTATATGTACCGGTATGCAGTTATAGCTTATTACAGTATTACTGCAATTAGTACTGTAATTATCCTTATGTTGTTTGGTGGCATTCTACAGTTGCTTGAATTGGCATACAATAAACCAATGTACAATATAAGACCCAATGTATCTATTTAATTATCTTTATTTTTGTGTCAAGCAATCGACTTTTTGTCGATTAATCGCATTTTACAGCTTTTCTGCCGTTTATAAAATCAATTCTCTGATACCAATACTGGTATCCAATATTTTGCTCATTTCTATATTTGGATATATTGATAGGCTACATCTCTGATCAAGTTATGCAAATCATTATTGCACGCACCTTTGCTGTATTGTTCAAAATATTGTAGCATATTTTAGGATAAGATATCCTTTTTATCCAAAGGGAGTGGAAAGTTGATAAGCCTGCCGAATTATAGTACTTACCATCTCACCATGGACTCTCGTCTGGTTACCAGTCCATGTCGGGTACCGCATGGGATTATTAAGCCAATATTGCTTGCCTGGTTTAGGGGTTATTTGCTCAGATTCATGAACTTGACGATGCAGGACGCTGTAAACGCCCAGCGACTATGTGAAACCCCCTACGGCAGTGAAGAGTTCAGCATTAATCTCGCCTTTCACCTTAAATACCTTTTGGATTACCGGTACTTTGATTATTATCTTTGAAAGCACATCTACAAAATATTTTTTTTACATTTCAGGGTGTACTGAATGGATTTTTTGGATCCGTAGGAAAGTAAGCATTGTTGTTATAAATATATTTCACTTCTACTTTATATATGTTTGTATGTATTATCTTATGTTTTAGGTTGTGTGTCTTATCACCCTTATCAATAGTCGATTTTCGTAATGAGGGGATGATATTGTGCAATACAATTGCTTTCATACTGTGTACGTTCTTGTATGACATTTGTCAGTTGTTTGTCTATTGTCTGTATGTGTTATGCAAACACATGCCAGCTCCATTTTGCAATGTTAGCAAGTTACTAAGCTGATAACATAATTAGCTGACCATAATAAATAAAGTTATGACATGCCAGCTATAGAATAAAAATTACATCATTAGGAGGGCTTGAGTCTTTGAATCGACCATTGGGACTCACCATTTCTGAAAGAATAAGAAGTTTATCTGAATGAAATGACCTGTGCTCATATTCACTTAACCCTCAACAAGTTTCAAATCAGCGATTGACTGGACCCAATACTCGAATGACTTATGACCTGACTCGGGCCTGGGGACCCAATACTGAAATATTTGTATTTTATCTTTCATTCAGTACGCCACTCATCAAACTTGATGGAGTTAGCAAAGAAACGGGTTGCAATATTCTAGTTAAAGCAGAGTTTATGAACCCTGGTGGATCTGTGAAAGATCGAGCAGCTCTTTTTTCTAATTAAAGATGCACAAGAAAAAGGCAATATTAAAAAAGGTGGAACAGTAGTTGAAGGAACAGCTGGCAACACTGGGATAGGACTTGCACATATATGTAATGCTTTGGGATATAAATGTGTAATATATATGCCTGATACATATATATGCGATAGTTTTTTTCAGCGAAATAAAGAGTCGCTTTCGTTAAAAACATCAATAAGCGCTACTCAGGCTGTGGATGCACCGGTTACGTCAGTTACGTGACTACGTCTATCACTTCTATTCCCGAAGATAAACTAATATTCAAAGAAGGGAAAACAAATGATCTTGGATTTTTTCTTAAGAAACATATCGATGCGGAGAGATACAGGCTTCTAACTTCGAATGGTCCGAAAAACGTGACGATTCTGGATACCGTTAGACAAAGTCGTCGTAAATTTTTCAAAAAATGGCTTGACGATGACAGATTTTGCAGTTGGTTAGTTTGCACCCAACTCTCTGATGGGGGTGAATTTTGTATTCACAAAAAGCCAGCTGAGTTGTTGAATCAGTTTGCTTATTGATAAACTGTTGTTGGTTTCGCGCTTGAAGAAGGGGTGTCTTAGACCCAATATAATTTCTAAAATTTTCAAATTTGCCCCCCCCCCCCCCAAAAAAAATTTTGGGCTGGCTACGCCACTGGCTCAGTGAGTGTAATCCCTTCAAACTATTTTTAAGCCATTTCGTAGCTGACGTTTCCAGCTGCCCTTTAATTCCGCGTATAGTCCCAAAATTGAGCTTATCTTATCTGTAACTTGATGAAGTTGCAAAAGACGCAGTTTGTACGTAACCTTTGGCACCGCTTTTACTATAAAATGTTGAAGAAAAATACTTCATACGGACTAGAGCACTATTGCTTATTTCGGATCAGCATCATATTGTCACAAGACTCACGACACGGCCAATTATTAAGGGCATAAAACGGCTTGTTAAAATTTAAAAAACCGACATTCCTAACATGAAACCATCAGTAGCCCAATTAGTAACACATTTTTTAACTGCCAATTATGGTTAATTTTTACCATTTGAGATTCCAGCCTACATATACGAATGCCGTCAATCATGTTTTGTCGACGTACGATTGAATCATCTCAGTGGCATACACGACCAGTATAACCCATGGAAGTTGGTCGCAATATAGTAAAGTTCAGTGTGGCGATCGGGTCGTGAATAAAGCGCCGTTAGGTCAGGTATTGAATAGTATAGCACCGTAGGTCAAAGGTAAGGTAGGTAAGTTGTGGCAGATAGGTCAGTGGGTCGAGGATAGGTAGGTTGAGGGGGATAGGGCAGTGGGTCGAGAAGAGAAAGGTTGAGGGAGATAGAGCAGTAGGTCGAGAAGAGAAAGGTTTAGGGAGATAGAGCGGTGGTTCGAGGATCGGAAAAATAGGGAGATAGGGCAGTGGGTCGAGGATAGGGAGGTTGAGGGGGATAGGGCAGTCGGTCGAGGATAGGAAAGTTGAGGGGGATAGGGCAGTGGGTCGAGGATAGGGAAGTTGAGGGAGGTCGGGCAGTGGGTCGAGGATAGGAAGGTTGAGGGAGATATGGCAGTGGGTCGAGGATAGGAAAGTTGAGGGAGGTCGGGCAGTGGGTCGAGGATAGTTAAGTAGATGGAGATAGGGCAGTGGGTCGAGGACAGTTTTCAAGTAAACAAATAGCTCGTGGAGGCCCTAAATGTCTTTAACGGAGTCCTGAGGCTCCGTACGGAGCACTTTGAGAACCTAAAGTCTACGTAGTAGAATATAACAATGCAAACAACTAAGTAACGAATGTTTCCCCGACTTTTGATCTCTTGAATTCTTCCTCTCTACACTCTACCATTGCAAAATTATTGGTACCTATTTTGTCCTAATAACATCTTCAGTTGATTGAAATTTCAAACAATAATGAGTTGAAAAGAGTCTTTGCGATTTATAGGGTAGCGGTAGCTACTTTGGCAATCTTTTGGGCAATACTGCTATCTGAATACCCCGGCATTGCAAAAAAAGCTTTACAGGCATTTTTACATCTATGTGAGATCGGGTTTTCAAAGTTGACAACTACAAAATCGCAGTAGGCTAAAAGTAAGAAATACGTTACTTGAATAACATCACTTTCATTTTTAAATTTAATATCAACCTAAAGTCAAATCCTGCGTTTATGCTGATTGGCCAATATTACGGCAGTAAATAAGGAAGTCTAAACTCGGAGAGAAATCCATAATTATAATTAGAGTTTTATATAGTTGTTATAGCTAAATTCGGTACACAGACGCAATGCTTATATTTACTGTAAATTTAAATTGTTTTGCGACCCAGCGTGGAGAGCTGCGCGACCCATAATTGGGTCGCGACTCCGTATTTGCGGACCCCTGCTCTAGTCTACTTTATGTAATATATAAAGTGCTCAATTTAGGAGAGTATTCAATACTACCTTCGTTTCGTTGGATCACTGTTGTTGAACACTTCAATCTGTATCCGTTATCTATGTCTTCTATGATTATATAATTCCTGTTTGAAAAAACTTAACCGTGAGCCTTGCACAATCGAACGAAATCAATTATCATTATGAGTCCATAGTTACTTCACAATGAAAACATTGTGAGACTGTCTAGCGGTCTAGCACTGATATTTCCATGGTTACCTAGAGTCTAGACTGTGATGCAAGGTTACCATATTGTCTATTTACCGCCAAACTTGATAATATGCAACTCAAAAGTCCTGCTGCAAATTAACACAAATATATTTCTGTAACGTTTCGTCTGACCAAAATCAGACTTCCTCAGACAAGCAGTTTACAACAATGACAAGAAAAGAACAATCATGTGCTTTAAATACGACGATTATTTACGGCATGAAATATTTCTCGGCATGGAATAATTGTTCCGCGGTGTACTTGACTTCACAGTCTCACAAGTGTTCTAGGCTCAGCTCTTGATAGTCGGGGTGCTTTTACAATGATTTTTTGAAAGACGTTGAAGTTTTTTTTAATAATGCTTCTAAACAACAACCGCAAAAAAAGAATTTAGAAGCACCATTGAAAGAACTTCAACGCCTTTCAAAAAATCATTGTAAAAGCACCCCGACTATCAAGAGCTGAGTCTAGAATACTTCGAAAAATGTTCTAGAATCTAGTGAATCTTATTGTGAGATCAAATACACCGCGGAACAATTATTCCATGCCGAGAAACTATCGTATTATTTCGTCGCAATCTGTTTCTAATTATAAATACCGGTAATTGTTTATTCATTGTTTGGTCACAATTATTTTCAAACAAATTTATTTATCGTCGTATTTAAACCGCATGATTGTTCTTTTCTTGTCATTATTTCCGCAAAAACTCAGAAGCTTTTGGCAAAAACTACATTATTGAAAAAATCCTCCGGCTTAAGATTTCATTTACACAAGAGTAATTGCATAACTGCATATCAGAAATAGTACGAAACTACAATTTCGCATACTTGTTCCCGCGTGATGTTCTATTAGAGGATGACTGTCGCTGATAGCCCAGTAATATTTAAACCCGGAATCAATTTTAGGAAAAAAGTATTAACAAATTTACATCCCATGTGTTTATTTACGCCCTAAACTTTCGAATTCTTCGAGGGAATCGAAATAAGGACATATTTCTTATAATTTGATACCACTGACACCAGGGCGGATCATGACCTTTAGAGAGCCGGAGCACTTAGAATTCAGTGCCCTATATTTGGAAAATAAGGTACTTTTGAAGTATGCGCACCAAGATGTCTCACAATCTGAATCCTAACCTGATACACAACCTGAATTCAGGTTGTGCGCCATCTTGTTGCGCATACTTCAGGAGGTCTGAAAATAATGATAATGAGAATGTGTTACGACTTACGTGTTATCTGAATAAGTAAGTTTCAGTGTTTATTACTGATTGAAGGTCAAATTATGATTAATTTGCATATTTTTTTTTTGAACGTTGAACAGCATTCGCCCGTAACTTCAATACTGTTAAAAAGCGCCAGTCGTTAAATTATTGATTAGCATTTCACCGTAAATTCAACACTTTCAAAAAGCGTTACCCGATTAGGGATTGCTGATATACTGTGAGTTCTATGCAATATATACGTTTATTTCGTAAAACAATTGACTGTAAATATAATAAAATCTCGTAGACAATGCCGAACTGGAAAGATTCCGATCCTCCCAAAATAAAGGGCTCTTTGCATATATATCAGTGTCTTCTTGTGGAGAGCCTTATTTGAGTCGAAAGTACGTTGTATAAAATATATGGAACAAAATAGTCGTGAAGATTGTCGCTCCGGTTGTTTACTGTGATCGATTGCATACCCCTATTACTTCGCTCTGTCTTTCGTGTCCATATATTTGAGCATCTCTCTCTTGTTTTGATTTATATTGACTCTTGCATAGCGAAAATAAATATCTAAATCTATCTGTCGCCGTGAGATCGTTCTGGTGCTGTGTGTTTAAAGTGTGATTCATATTTAGCAATGGCAAATTCAAAATACTCCCCCACGTCCCAACGTCCTCAATGGACGTTTCCCCGACCTTTGACCCCGAAAGATTCTTCCTTTACTTTATTAATGAAAAACTTTCAACGCTGATGTTGAGAGTGTTTTGGCGAGTGGGCGCTTAAAATCTGGCTCACATGTTCAAAACTATCATTTTCATTCAAAACAATAAACCACGTGCCGCCTATAGATACTGATAGCTAATTTTAGGCTAGTCTATCGCAGCATTTGCGGTATCAATTTTAGATTATTGTGACTAAACTAAAAGTCCTCAGAAGACACTATGACATTTAAGTTATTTGATTTACAACTATTTTTTGAAAACACAACTAGAAACTGACAAATAAAACACAAAACTACTAAAAAGAGGCAATGTTTACAATCACGATAGAATATCTGTCAGAGCGGCGGCATAAATTCCAATTGTTACCTCTTTGTTAACTTATTGCTGATTAGTAATTGTTACGGTAATAAACAAAGAAATCGATGCTCGAGGAAACACCCATCAACGATGTAATTGAAGTTTAGCAAAAAGGATTTTTCTAATTGCTAAGCAAAGACACGAAAGCAACAAACACACTAATTTAATGAACACCCATCAGTTCTATTGTGGTGCCGCATTCAAATCAAACTACTTGTTGGTCCTTAACACCAGAGTTTAATTAGGACTCCGACAGGCTAGATTTTCAGAATTGAATATGTCAAATCGGGAGAAACAACGTCTCTTGCCCTTGTAAGCGCAGTGATAATTTGGAAACCTCTGCCCCTTGAGCCCAATGCTGTGTCACGGTGATGGTTGCGATTTGCGGCATTTACACTTTGCAGAGCTCGCAGCGCATTCAGCAAAAGCTACCGTATCGTATAATAAACGAAGGCGAAGCGGGAGGGACACGTTGCAGGCTTTCACTTTTTCATAATTCAGTAATTACGGGATGCTAAAAACGAGCTGCCAAGTTGTTCGAATTTGCTCACGTTATTGTCAGCGAGCGGAGCGACAATTTTCAGAGGTAAATAACTTTCCTCATGTATGTATGTATGTATACCGGTACAGCATACCGTATATCTCTGTATATGTATGCAGTTATAGCTTATTACAATATTACTGCAATTAGTACTGTAATTATCCTTATGTTGTTTCGTAGCATTCTACAGTTGCTTGAATTGGCATACAATAAACCTATGTACAATATAAGACCCAATGTATCTGATTTAATTATCTTTATTTTTGTGTCAAGGAATCGACTTTTTGTCGATTAATCGCCTTTTACAGCTTTTCTGGCGTTTATAAAATCAATACTCTGATACCAATACTGGTATCCAATATTTTGCTCATTTCTATATTTGGATATATTGATACATCTCTGATCAAGTTATGCAAATCATTATTGCACGCACCTTTGCTGTAGGCTATTGTTCAAAATATTGTAGCATATTTTATGATAGATATCCTTTTTATTCAAAGGGAGTGGAAAGATGATAAGCCTGCCGAATTATAGTACTTACCATCAGGCCATAGACTCTCGTCTGGTTACCGGTCCATGTCGGGTATGGGATTAATAAGCCAAAATTGCTTGCCTGGTTTAGGGGTTATTTGCTCAGATGCATAAACTTGACGGTGCAGGACGCTGTAAACGCCCAGCGGTTATGTGTAACACCCTACGGCGGTGAGGAGTTCAGCATTACTCTCGTCTTTCACCTTGAATACCTTTTGGATTACTTTGATTATTACCTTTGAAAGCACATCTATAAAATATTTTTTTCACATTTCAGGGTGTACTGAATGGATTTTTTGGATCCGTAGGAAAGTAAGCATTGTTGTTGTAAATATATTTCACTTCTACTTTATATATGTTTGTATGTATTATCTTACGTTTTAGGTTGTGTGTCTTATCACTGTATCACCCTTATCAATAGTCGATTTTCGTACTGAGGGATGATATTGTGCAATACAATTGCTTTCATACTGTGTACGTTCTTGTATGACATTTGTCTGTTGTTTGCTTATTTTCCCTTATGTGTTATGCAAACACATGTTTGCTTTATTTTGCAATGTTAGCAAGTTATCAAGCTGATAACGTAATTGGCTGATCAGCATGAATAAAGTTATGACATGCTGTAGGGTAAATATGGGTTCGGACCCATGTGAGGATTGTTATGTACGAGAGGATTGCTGGATTCCTCGCTGCTGTAGGTTGGTTCACGTAACCGCTGACCAGTCTGGATTTCATGGCCTTTTCGAACGAGAAATCGGGCATGCAATCAGAAATTCCCGCGTGCAAATAAGAATTTCTGGCGTGCAATTATAGCTCACGGCGTGCAAAACAACTGCGCCCGCTAAACTGATTTCGAACTAAGATACCTCTCAATACATCCGCGTAAAAATAAGTTGGATCATAGCAAAAATGGACGTTTGACCTTTGACCCCCAAAACATCATTTCTATATTTTGTCACTAATTTTGAGAGTGTTTGTGCGACTTTAGATACCGGTACTGTTCAGTACATTCGTGTAAAATTATTGTATTAAAAATACGCTGAATCAGAGCCATAACTGGCCAGCGTCGGTGAGGAGGCGATTTTTCTCACGGGATTCCTATCATTCAACACGATATGGTGATTTTTGCTTCGCATTTTTCGATCAGGCCAAATCTTGCAAGCAAGTATTAGTCGACAATTGTAAAGTTATAATTTTTTGGCATCTTTATATTACTAGATTATTGATTTAAAAACTATTTAAACCGATTTACATTGGTGAGCAATTGCAAATTTTCGGCGTGCAAAATTGAATTCGCTCGCGTGCATTTTTGTGGAGTGCTAGCGCCCTCGGGCGTGCATCTGCCATGGAATCCAGTCTGGACCGCTGATCACTTACGGCTTCCACCACCATTAACTCCAGGCTTCCAAAAACAATACTTGGCTAACTAATCCTATAGTTGTCATGGACTGGTAACCGGACAAGAGACCATGGTTCATCATTATGATTAAGCCTTTTTATCGCCTCCCCTCTCCCAGAGATAAATATGTAGATCCTATCCTATCTGTATTCTATCTCTCATTCAGTACACCACTCATCAAACTTGATGGAGTTAGCAAAGAAACGGGTTGCAATATCCTCGTTAAAGCAGAGTTTATGAACCCTGGTGGATCTGTGAAAGATCGAGCAGCTCTTTTCCTAATCAAAGATGCACAAGAAAAAGGCAATATTAAAAAAGGTGGAACAGTAGTTGAAGGAACAGCTGGCAACACTGGAATAGGACTCGCACATATATGTAATGCTTTGGGATATAAATGTGTAATATATATGCCTGATACACAGTCAAAGGTGAATATGAATTTTCATTTCATATATAGTTCATAATATAGTAAAGTGGGCCAAAGATTGTGATTTTACCTATTTGCTGTCTATTCCATATTGAAGGTTGTAGTGGAAATTTTCTATATTTTCTCTTGTACTATTAATGAAGAAAAACTTGGGAGTCAAAATAGCCGATTAATTGTCACAAGGTTTCATAGAACTAGAACTATTCATGATTGGAAAAGTTTGTTTTTGCCTTCCATTGCACAATAAATCTGTCATTTTTTCCAACATCAGAAAGGTTAGTTTTAAAACCTTTTTATTTTTTAGGAAAAAATAGAACTGCTACTTGCATTGGGGGCTGATGTTCGACCTGTGCCTGCTGTTCCTTTTAATAATCCTGATAATTATAATCATCAGGTAAATCTTTGAATTCAATACAAATTTTCATTTTATTCCTCATTTTTGTAGTTTTATGAACTTACTAGTCAACGTCCTCTTTAAAATAGAGTTTAATCATATGATGAACCACCACATCAGGCAAAATATTTCTATGCTTGTTGAAAATGGTTAGCTCTTCATTGTCAATCAATTATTCAATTTTATTGTGGTCTTTCTGGCATGAATTATACCAACGGCAAACGGACAAAAGAGTTACCTAGAACGCGAGCATAACTTTTGATAAAATTGAAAGACATACAAGTACACAAAAACAGTGAAAGCACATAGCAAAATAAACACATGATATAAAATGGGGCAATAACTTTCGAATCAATATGATATGTGAAAACACTGAACAAAATTGAATAATAAGAACTGAATCGAGATAAATAGGAATCAATAGAACAGTGGTTTCTAACCGAGGCCACTGAGCAGTTGTAGGGGGGCCACATTGCCAGGCACAAACTGATTTTATTTTTTCCCTGACAGAAAACTGCCTGTACTTCCTTGTTTCATTGCTTGGTAAATTCATTTCACAGAGTGTTTTTACTTTGTTGAGCAGGGATTGTTTGAACATAAAGGGATTTAGAATCCACCAATCACAATAACACTATAAATACCATTGGAATGATTAGCGGGGGCCATGAGTGCTAAAGCCTCAGGAAGAAGGGCACAAGACATAAAAGGTTGGGAACCTCTGCAATAGAATATCAAATAGCTCGTACTCGGCTGAGACCCAACTCAATTATGCTTAGAAATAACTTTTCTTACTATGTTACTCATGTATACTGCAAGTGAATTATTTTCATTTGTCACATATTCTAGGCCAAACGATATGCAGATTCTCTTGATAATGCTGTATGGACAAATCAGTTTGATAATACCGCCAACAGACGAGCTCATTTTGAAACAACTGGACCAGAAATATGGCGACAGACAGGTGATATTGCATGTTGTTTGATTTGCCCTCTCTTAAAATTACTCTAGAGGTTAAAGACTGACCGTAACGCCTTAATCTTTTTAGATGGGAAAGTTGATGCTGTAACATTTGGAACTGGTACAGGAGGAACCATGGCAGGTACTTTTGCAATCTGTATTTAGTTGTTTCATTTACATTCAAATTTTGACTCAACTATTGACTGATGAAGTTTGCATTGGCAAAATATTTAAACAATTGTAGAATATAACTGGCCATTTTAAGAAACACTCCTTGAGATAGAAATTCAGTAGCCATGATTTATTTGTGAGATGAGGGCTCAGTTTATTATACCTGCCTGTGCCACTAATAGTACTTCATGGTTTTAGAATACAAATTCAAATGATTGCAATAAAAGCGAGTATACTTGAACCTGTATGTACTAGATGGAAAATTGTGTATAATATGTATACCAATAGCATATATTTAGCAATAGCATAAAAGTTCAATTTTCTCACTGGTGAAATAATTATTACTTATTGATCTTGATCGGTGAGTATGTTGATGGTATTTGTCTGTTTGTTTGTCTGTCTGTTAGACACTTTCGTATGTTACGTGATATCTCACGAAAGCGATGTTGAATCTGCTCCAAATTTTGCATGTGCATTCATCATATCTCGGACCAGAAGCCTATTGATTTTGGATGAATTATGTCATATAATTAGCGTGTTAATAATCAATTAGTGATGGGACACGCGGTGTCGTTATTGATTCAGAGCGAATGATACACGACGCTAGATCGAGAAGTCGGCGGTCTCTGATCGCCATCTCGTGTTTTTAGATTGTTTCATATTTATGTGGGATAGAGCAGTGTTAAGAAAGTCTATAATCATAATCATAATAATAATATAATATTAATCATAACATGAATTGCATAAAAAAAAATTCTTGGATACATATTTAATACTCATGTTTTTGAAAAAGAATCTTCTACAGAGTTTGTGAATTAGCCTATCATTTGAAGCCCATGATTTCATATCCGTGAATGCCATCAGCCCATGACAGATGACACAAACTTAGCTAGTAGCCCTACAACAGTAGTCCCACAAAATTTATAATAAATTACAGACGAGAATATCGGTCGGAGACCGAAGACTTATCGATCGAAACTGCGGTTTCGATTCATGACTCTATAGTGATACCGCGTGTCCCATCACTGATTAATTAATAACTCGCTAATTATACGACATAATTCATCCAAAATCAATAGGCTTCTGGTACGACATATGATGAATGTACATGCAAAATTCGGAGCAGAATCAACCACGCCTTCGTGAGATATCGCGTGCATCTAACAGACAGACATACAAATACCTATCAACATAATTACTGATCTAAAGATCGATAAGTAATAATATATTCTTCAACTTGAATATAGTTGATTTGACCTTGCAATTGGAGTTCTTTGTTTTGTTCAGGTGTTTCATCATTTTTAAAGACGAAAAATAAGAATATACAGACAATTGTTTCTGATCCACAGGTAGGAATTTGATTAATTTATCCAATAATATTATTTGTTTCTATAAAAAAAAATATTATTATAGATCCTTCTACAATTATTCTTCATAAAAATTTTTGTTTCCAATACCAGGGTAGTGTTCTATATAATTGGTTTACAAAAAGAAAACTAGAAAGATCAGATGGTAGTTCAATTACTGAAGGTATAGGACAAGGAAGAGTGACTGAAAATATGAAAGGAGCTCCAATTGATGATGCTATCTGTGTCCTGGATAAAGATGCTGTGGAAATGGTAACCCTTAGTATTTGGATTGTTTATTTTGCATTGTCTCTATCGATTCTAGTAGTGGGGTTGAGGACTTTTTGACTTAGTTAGCCACTGCCCACTACGCCCACTAGTCATTACTTATCGATTTTAATCGGTAAGTATGTTGATAGGTATTTGTCTGTTTGTCTGTCTGTTAGATACACGCGATATCTCACGAAAGCGAGATTGAATCTGCTCCAGATTTTGCATGTGCATTCATCACATGTCGGACCAGAAGCCTATTGATTTTGGATGAATTATGTCGTATAATTAGCGAGTTATTAATTAATTAGTGATGGGACACAAGGTGTCACTATGGAGTAAGAGCGCTGTTTTGGGGGATCCCCTAACTTTCGATCGATAAGTCTTCGGTCTCTGATCGATATTCTCGTTATTTTTTTAAAGATTTGAGTTGAGTCAAATTAAGAAATTTACAGGTCATTGTTTGTCACTAGAAAAATGAATATAACAATTTTCTATGTAATGCACTTGCTCAGTTTTCTGAACCTTCCTTCTGTCATTTACCCTTCAACTGTGTATGTATACTGCCTTCTCAATCATTCATTACGTGGAGATTGTTGAAGCAAGCCTCTGGAAGGCTTTTACTTTTATTTTTTGAAATTTCTCCTGACTCGAAATTTGGCTGTTTTAAACCTTATTTGGGCATGCTTGCCTTCCGACTTCTTCAGTAGACTCTGTTCTCAGCCAAGGCATTGTGGTGCTAAAAGGGACATAGTATCAATGTGCAAACTTGTCAATATATTTGAACATTGCTTTTTTGTTGATGAAATAGTTTTTTAACTTTTGTATCTCATTATAGACTTTGTATAATAATCGATACTAATAAGTATTTAATGTTTCACCAGACATTTAGATTACTTCACGAAGAAGGTTTTTTTGTTGGTGCTTCTTCCGGTCTCAATGTTGCAGGAGCTGTAGCAGTTGCTAAAAGGTTGGGCCCAGGCCACAATGTGGTTACTTGTCTATGTGACACCGGCCAACGTTATTTTACAAGATTATTCAGTAGGCAATGGCTGGAAGGCAAAGGTCTGGTAGAATTCATACCGGAAAAATATAGGAACTCCCTCATTCCATAGACAATTTGGCGCTCCGGAAGTGTGTGTACCAATATGGAGGTAACTAATTTTGTCCGCCTACTTTAAGTCAGGTTGTGTAAAGGGACTGGAACCTATAGGCAGGGGTGAATTTACTTGGCCAACACAAACAGTCCCCGAACTCGCAATAGGACTAAAATAAAGAAAACTGGAATAAAATTATGGCCTACCCCTAACCTGGTACACACACTACGGGAGTACTGACAATTTTATTTAGCAAAATTATTTAATTACCTGTAATTTTACTCTTAATCATGTTCAAAAGTTTTTTCTAGTTTCAACAATGCATTTATCGCATCCTTTCTAGAGCAATATCTTAATTCTTGTCTTCGAAATGGCGCGTTTCTTTTGTGTTATTTTGAGCTGTTCTTTAGGAGAGTTGACTATATGCATGTTATGTTATATTAATCGTAATAAAAAAATATTTGTATCTTTCCTCTTTAGTAACAAATTATAATAATTATACAATGCCAAATACAACATTTGATAAGAGTGTGTGTGTAGTTTTTATAATGTCATGGAATAACTAGATCCACCGACAAACGCCGAGCAGGGAATCAGCTGGTGTGCGTCCGCAGAACGTTCGGTGACGTTATAGCAAACAAAAAGCGAATCCCACAGTGCTAACAGGAAGATATGAAATAGATAAATGTAATAGCCTTCTGGCAAAAAATTCCATCCTTAAACACTGAAACTTTTGAAGAAATTGGTCCAGTAATCAGAGAGAAAAATGACCTTTTAAGTTTTCCACTAGGTGTCCAAAAATAATGCATAACGATCGTTATCTCCACTACCGTGTCCAACTAGGATCTCTCTAGTTCAGCATTGTCTATATATTTTATTGCCCCTCAAGTGAGGTTTTCGTCAAGATGTTTGAACTTTCAACTCAAGTATCATTAATCAGCAATTCCAACATGGTCACCGTTACCAGCATAAATGACTAAAAAACATTTTTCATGAATTAAATTGCTGAGAGAAAAGTCACTCCCACTCAGAAGTATAGAGGTCCAATATTTGAGCAAGGTTATCAAACTCAAACAGAGGTATCCACATGGTTAAACGAAGATACGGGCAATCACCGAAGGGTACTCGCGTAGTATGTGAACCAAGATGGCGGACACCGAAACGTAGTATGTGTACCAGGATAGGGTTAGGCCATAGTTTCACGTTCAAATACTATGAGTCACTTGGCTAGTCCCCAAACTCGAAATAGAACTAAAATAAGGGAAATTAGAATAAAATTATGTCTTAACATTAACCTGGCACGCATACTACGTTCCAGTGTCCGCCATCTTGGTTCACATACTACGGGAGATGACAACAGCTGGGATTATATACAAAAATATGTCGATGAGTTACGCGTTCCTAATTGACGCGAGTCTTGCGAACAGTCCCAATGCGAACAGAAAAACATCTCACTTAAGTAAAGTTTCCAACTACTATTGTTTATTAATAAAAAATGACTACATTGAACCTAACTTGTATAACAAAATGCACTTAAACTGTCTATTACCGTTTTACGACTTGTTTAAACGGAAAACTGCGGAATAAATATTCTTTCATATTTACAAAAAATGAGGCGACTACAGAACGTATGACGTCAGTAATACAACGAGCCAAGAACTTACACGGAGGTATAATAATTTGATACTCAGTGTTTGGAAGCGAAGTGTAACAAGACTGATGCGATGAAAACTTTATTTCGACATTTTTGCTCTAAAGAAAGCTTTTTTCGACATTGCCATGGGAAATTTATATCTATAAAAACTACAGTCGTAATTTCAGCAGGCACAAGTTGGAGCGTGATTCATTACTATATTTGTTGTGGTTTCAGTAGCTTTTGGTATTTCAGTGGCTGCCTGTAACTTTTTGCTTATAAATTATTTTACTTGTTTTTGTGATTGAGCGCCCATAACTTTACCCATAATTTTTTTTTTTCTTGGAATCGTGAGTACGCATGATCGAGCTTTGAGAAGAAACAAAGATGAGTGAGTAGTCCTATGCTAAATACCAAAAAACCATCTGAATGGAATAAATAAATGAATAATTAAAAAGTAATTATTTACTACACAATACTCATCAGTAATTGTGCTCTAAATGTATGCTTTTAAACTCTCTCGACTGTCATTATTAAGCTGCGATGCCAATATAGTCATCAGCATAAATGACTGAATACAAAAAAAAAAGTCACCCACTCAGAAGTGAAGTAGATTAACATTTGATAAAGGTTACGTGCACTAGCGCAGAAGTAGACTCATCGCCGAACGTCACACAGTTGGATTATAAACAAAAATACATCGGTGAATGACACGTTCCTGACCTGCACGAGCATTGGAACTAACATCGGGTCAATGCGAAGAGAAAACAGTTTTTTCACATAATTGAAGTTTCCAACTAGCCCTTTGTTTGTTTATTTATTATAAATAATCAACTTGCATCTAACGTGAATACAAAATCCGTATATTACCATTTTAACATTTTCTAGGGTAAACGGAAAACAGCTAATTAAACATAATTTTATCTTCACAGAAAATGAAGTGACGACAGAGGGTATGACGTCAGTAATTGCGACGACTCAAGAACTGCCCACTGGAGGTATGATAATATGATATATAGTGTTTGGAAGCGAAGGACAATAAAATTGCATACAGCCACCGCTAGAACTGTATTTTGATATATTCTCTCTAAACTAAGCTTTTCTCGAAAACTTTAGTTACGTAGAATTCGCTACGTAACTTAATTTACACTCTAACTTACTATTTCATCGGCCCACATTTGGACTAGCATATGCCCTTGCATGTCCTATATCAGAGGGGGCTGTCACCTGTCACGGACCGTAGTGTCCGTTTTTATGTTTGTATATATATATATATATATATTATGTTTATACACTATTATCCAGTCCCATAATTGGAAGTTCTGTTAACATCCGAATATGTATTATAGGACTCCACCCACACAATACACGTGTGAGTAAAAATGTATCTCTTGCTCTCTTTTTCGGTCGTTGGGCTGCTTTTTGGTTATGTCTGATGATTTTTTATGTTTTAAGTGTGGTGTTGCCGTAGCAATAAATAACCAATCCGGAATCTTGGACAAATTCCTGTGGCCAACACGTCGATCGCGTCTGATGTTTATTGAATTTAATATTATACGCACATAATATTTAATTATGGACAAGCCGATATAGTATATTATTACGTAACAAATGCAAGTTTCACCGCTGCCGCAAGGTTTAAAAATAAAGTTGCCGAATATCGTGTGCATTGACTGATAAACGATCCTACAATAACTTCTGCAGTGTGAGAAACGGACTTGAAAGAAATTGTAAATTAGATACTGAAGTTTGAGTAGTAATGTAACATTTATGGTTTGAAAATATATATTTCGCTGTTTGAGTTATACATGGACACTTGGCAAGATTTTAAGGAAACTTTTAAACACTTACACCTAAAGATAAGGCAAGCCTTAAATTTGAATTGTACGTTTTGAATAAATCTTAAATGAGTGATGAATGCTTTAGCACAATTTTTGTGGCAATTTCATCAAGGCCCACAGAGCCGAGATTATTGTCAGCGGTGGAATTTTTTGTGTGCGTGTGTGCAGTTATCTGCATATTCAATATTCATTGGTTTTTGTGTATGACCTTATTGCCGATCAGTCGACCGCGAGCTATTTTGAAGATTTTAGTCGATCGCGGTCAAAAACAGGTTGGCCATCCCTGGCCTATATAACCTCATATGGGAAAGAATGGGTGTAGGTCCTGTAGGATATTTATCCATGTGTAGTACTCGGAGCTTCGAACAATTAGAAAATCAAATTTGAAGGAAACTTTGGCGTCTGCATTCCTTCTATATTAGACTGTTCAGAACGATTATTAGAATTAATGTTTTTTAAGTTTTAGTCAGAAATTTTGACTCATTTTATCACCAATAGAAGTCAACTCATACTCTGATGAAAATAAGCTAAACGCGTCTCCCAACCCCGTATTTGTAAATTTGTCAATTTTTGAGATGATCCGTTTTATGCCAATCAGATATATTCAGAAAAATAGAAATAATGAGTTTTGTGACCGTTGCCTTTACTAGATAATCAAAAAATCTGAAACGCTTCCCTTGTTACACCTGATAGCGCTTGCGGTTTAAGTCTGTTTCGTCTTTGTTTTTTTTTAATAAGTTATAGTTTGAACAAATATTCAAATGAAGTCCGCAGGGTTTTAAATTTGAATTTCACTTTTCTGCAAAATTTGGTCAATTCCATCTAAAAGAAACTTTTTATCAAAATTAGATTTTCTAAAACTTTTTCACAAGAACTTATGAATAATTAAAAGTATTTATATCAAATCAGTACTTTTTTAAAAAGCACGAACTAACGAGTGGTCCACACTTCTGCGGCATTCTGTATATGTGGATCGTATACGGCAGTACATCAATTCCTATTTTCCCATGATCTAAGGTTTCGCTTTCATTTCATCAGATTGTTAAACATGCAAAGAAATTGGAATCGAATTTCAAGTTCAGATGAACTTGTTCGCTATCATAAACAGCTTATTTCGAATCGTGGTGAGGAAAGACGGATGCGACGTCATAGATAGGATAGGATTTACACATTTATCCCGGGGGAAAAGAAAGGTGATAAGACGGCTTAATCATACTTTCGTCCGGTTGCCAACCCAAGTCGGGTATGGGATTAGTTAGCCAGTTATTATTATTTCTTTTTCTTTTTCAGAGAGCATGGACTTGAGGAAGCCGTAACCGACCAGCGGTTACGTGAACCACCCTATGGCGGCGAAGAGTCCAGAAATTCTCTTGCACATAACTATCCCCGCACGGGATTTGAACCTGCGAACCCAGGCAGGGTATTCAGAGGTGCAGTGGCGAGCGTAGTACTAATGCTTAGCACGACGCGCCACACCGCTGATAATCGTTGGCGTGACACATACAGCCATTCTCAGTCTCTGCCACTTTACAGCGATTGTCATGTAATACTTCATCGGACCATCATATTTCTTCGTGTTGAGGTAGATAGAGACAGAATGTAATCGATATAGCTTTCGGTGAAACTCTTACTATGCAGCTCAGCAAAACGAAGTAACTTTACCGTATCGTTAACAGTTTCGATTTGACGCATAACACTTTCCCAGAAATAATCCGATAGCACGTATAATTCCCATGTTATTACTCGATGCAAAAAGGAGTGGGCTTTTGTGGTTAAATCGCACTTTTAATTTGTTTAATCCACTAAGTATATGAGAAAGTTAGCAAAAGCTAATTGAGAAAAATTGTTAATAAAAAGAGGAAAAATTAAGGTTTTATATTTATACTGACAAATTTGATCTGACTTGTGCGCATAGATTATTTCGATTTATATTCTTACAATTCCTCATGTTATAAATTAAAGTTAGTCCAAGTTATGTGAGTAACGTCGGGATCAGTCTGCTACTGAGTATACTATTTATCTTGGATATGGCAGCCACAGTCTACTACTGTTGGATTGAGTGACAGCCTTGCAATAGATCACTGCCTATCTACTCTAGTAGCAAAAAATCTAAACTTAAATTTCGTATTTTTGGAAAAGTTATTGCAACGTATGATTAGTATATATATATATAATTAATATGCTATCTGCACTCTCTGCCGATTCAAATTCTAATCCAAATTTATAAAGTATTGCAACATTTCAACGAAACGTATAATATAATCCCAACTCGCGCCTTTGGCGTTTAAGTTTGTTATTGTTATATTCTTGTGTTTAGGCCTAGGGGTGTGTTAGGTGTGTGATATTCACGCGCCACAGCCAATAAGCTGCTAAGATGTTAGGATTAGCAAATCTGCCGCTAACAACGAGTTTTTAGTTTCGTATTTCATCAAAAATGAATTTCGGGGGACAGGTATTCACGACAGGACCGGATAGATGGGATTTCATTGTAAGTAAAAGTTTGTGATGGAACCGTAGTTAAATTTAGTTTCCCCAAATTTGTGAATTCACGTTGATTAGAAAATTTAGAAAATTACTTTTAGTTTTAGCCATTAATCAAGGAGGCGAATAAAGCATTTAACCGAGACGAGCTATGCGTGAAAGTGAATGTCTAAAATAAATTTTACTTGTATCAGATTTATTTTTGAAAAAAGTACGGGTATGGGTAACATCACACGGTCGGTAAAGTCATGTGCAAGAAGCAGGAGCATGCAGCCATTTTGGATTGGAACTATTGTTATAACATTCTTAGTCTGTCATTTGATATTCGATGCTCGAAAATTATTGATGATGCATTTCCAAGGAAGTCAAATTACAATAAATGTTGCAAATTATAATTTACAAGGAATACAAGGAGACGAAGCGATTCTTTTTAACCAAGTAAAGTCTGGAGAAAAGCCTATTTTCGTTCTGGAAAATGATCATTTGGCATCGAAACTTTCATTAAAACAAGGAAATAGACATGGGTGGAATAAAGCTACATTATCAGTTCATCCAAAGTTATACACTTACCAAAATTTCGCTGAACTTCCGGCCTTCAGTACAGCTAATTGCAGAAGAAGTTTAAATACTTTTATTCCAAACATTGTGCACTTCATTTGGTTTGGGAAATTGGAAATGACATTTCTGCAATATTTATCTGTTCGGTAAGCGAAACGATTACACTACGTTCCTAAATTTAATGATTAGACTTGCAATTAGCACAAACGTAATAGCATAAATATAAAAATAGGACAAAGATAATAAGAATGCATATTTTTGTATTGTATTTTTGAAGAGTGTAAAATCAGAAGGAACTTAATGAAGGTGTTTGAGTAAACTTTTAGAAAAACACCAGTTTTTTAAAATCCAAGTGTTTTGATTATTTTATGTAAAATATTGCGCATTTGCTTAGCCAAGTGATTTTTGTCGGACATTAATTTGTGAGAATTTTATCATCTCAAAGACAGTGATATCTGATGCCAGAATTTTATCAAAGTCAATTCTGACATCGGATGTGTCATTCATTCGGAATGAATTCACCGACTGCGAGGATGCACAATTAAATTTGTATACATAATAGGTAGTTGATTAATCAGTATAGAAGTGTTCATTTGTAAAATGATGATAATTCCACGTTTTTATAGTTCTCAAGTTGTGTATAATGTATTTTGACAAAAAGGGATTTCTATAAAAATAAAATATATATATAACCTCAAAGATTGATGTTAAGGTTTTCTGAATGTCATAGAGATACGCTTTTAACTTCGGTTCCCGCCTAAACCCAAAATCTTACGATATTGACTCATCGCATGTACTATGAAGTAACCTAATATAATTAATAAACAGGAGCGCCGCTACAGTTCAAAGGCCATCTTCAATAATCCTTCATACTGACAGTGGTGAACCTACAGGGAAATACTGGGAATCTCTGAAAAACGAAATCCCATGTTTAGAAGTTCGATTCATGGCAAAACCAACAAAAATATTCGGAAAATATCCATTGACCAATGTAAAAGAACAATCTCACGTATCAAGGTAAGAAAAGTTGAAGATATTTCGGAAGACTTGAATATAAAAAAACATTTTTTTCAAACGGCTTGTGCAAGTATACTATCATATTTTAAGTAGGATTTAGTGTCGTACTTTAACGTGTATTTTTTAAATGAATAGCATGGTTCAAAAGCATTTTTAATGTCTTTGCACGCTTTTGCAAGGTTTTTGGTGTTTTTTCATGGTTTCCACGGTTTAGATGTCTTATGACGTACTTATTATATTTTCTAACTGAAAAATTCCCAATGCTCTTGTGCATAATTGACTATTAATTCGGTATTAGCAGTATTCAATAAACTTGAACTCGTATATGTGATTGCTCATTAAGATCTCCTTCGAAATACCTCATAATAATATGATTCCACAAAATTAAATAGTGGTTTATTTGAAAACGGTTTGCGGTGTAGAATGTTCGAAAGTTTCCAAGAAATTTTCCAAGCACAGACAATTGAGACGAAGCTATTTTTACAACTGTCAAGTTTCTTCAGGAATGGCTTAATTACATGTTTCATCGGATCACCGCGCTTCATCATTAGGATTTAATTAAACTTTCCGCGTAATTATGTAAATAAAAGTAGGAAATCCTTAATTTAAAATCGAAATTCAACACGTGTTTTCTGGTTTTAAATGTGAATGAAAATGACTAGACGCACGTAGGCACTGGACAGACTTGATAAAAAAAAAACTACGATTGTATTGTAAATGTCTCGTGATTTATCATTTTCAATTCATTGGTTTTAAGATGATTTTTGTGCTACGTAATTGCAAATCGTAAATTTAATTTATTCACCTTAAAACCAGAAATTGCCACTGTCTCACTACAGAAGAATTGCATCATTGAAATTGCTGAAGAATTGGAACAACTTCGGCTAATTTTATCATAATATTTCATTTTTTTAAAGGTTTACGGACGTATTTGCGTTAAATATTCTAAAATATATGTTAGCTTTATCAATATGACATTTATTACAACATTTTGATGATTTTGGAAAAATAAAATTGAAAGTATGTTCACGGTCTATTTATTAGATATCGTACGGTATGGCCTGCCAGTGCTTGGCCGGGTCTAAAGAAACCAGATCAAAAATCTTTATTGGCAATTCCTCGTTTCTCATTGAACCATATTACTATATGCATTTTCATACCAAAGAACCCTTCGTGAAACTCTTCGTGTATATCAGGAAACTGTCGAATTAGAAGCTTGGGAAAACTCTGGGATAACGGTTAATTCTCATCCTAATTATTGGCATTCCCTTTTACAAAGTTTCCTTATAGACCGCATATTTCGGGAAAAATTTGAAATGAAATTTTAATACTTCGTACCAGATTACAGGTTCTTTTTGAAGAGGGTGGAATCTATGCAAATCTGAATGTTATTTTTGTCAAACCGTTTGATGAATTGATGAACAAATCGCTGGTTTTAGGCAAGGAAGAAGATCAGTATTATAGTGAGTGCTTATTTTTGAATTTAGTGTCAAAAATCCAAAATTGTGAATAATGCTGATCAAGAGACCTATTGCGCCTTTGTCTCTTGGTTATGACACTGACATATCCCACTAATCAATGGGAAACGTGCCAATGATTTTCTGGAGTCGTGGTCGTATTTCCAGACTCTCTGGATTCGAGAGTCAATTGAAATTGTTCTTAACCCGGAATCGGAGCACTGAGTAAAACCATTACAGTTTCAATCACTCTTACTCGAAACCGGTGATTTTCAGCTATTTCCAAAACTTGGTAATATCTCTCAATTCAACTTAATCTTCTTCAGGTAACAGCGTGATTCTGGCAGAGAGGGGAGCATCGTTTATTACAATGTGGTTCACCGCATACAACAGAAAACTAGTCGATTGGTCAACTTATAGTATTTATATTCCTTGGCGGTAAGATTCTAAACCTTTGCTTTGAAATATTACGTTTAAATGCATTTTTCTTCACTAGTGTAAATTATTCGAAGTCACCTTGTTTGATATAGTCTTCACCGTGAAAATCCTGGAGTTCCTATCCATATCGAAGAATATTCAATGATGAGACCGAACTTTAACGAAGACGAATGGATAACGCACAACAACTGGGTGCTGGATGAGAATTATTGTGTTCACCTTTACGACGAGTAAGTATTTCTAAAATATCATAACTTGAATGTATGTTAAGTTGGTAAATTTTTTTTACAAAGTTCACGATTTTTCAAAGAGGGATGGTTGCTTTTATGGCAATTACATACGTGCCAAACGGTTTTCAAGTCAACCAGCATCAATTTTTGTGAAGTGTGCTCATAGACTCATGCGGATCTACTGGGTTTTGCAAATTCTTCTTCTATATTTCACTCGAAATAAAGACTAGTGGTGGGCAATACTGATAGGTATGGAGCTAATGATTTTTAGTCAGTTTGGAATCTTTCTTACTCGCCATTGCCCACCGAATCTAATACAACCTAAGTGAGGTGTTGGGCATTAGGTTTGAGCCGCAAACATGAACGTGAGACGCCAACGTAGGTAAACCCAGCGCCCTTACCACTATGACGCGGCACCGACTATTAGGAGAAGTCATTTTGAGGGAAAAGAATAATTAAGAGGGTGATAAAAAAACAAGAAAGTATAAATTATGGCAAGATCAATTCGGTAAACACAGAAAAGGCATTGTGGATAAGACAGTGTTAACAGTCTGGTAATAATTATATATTACATATAACATTGGTATTGTATAGTACATTTAATATTAATATTCAATTAATATAAAACATCCTACTCTTCCTCGATAAAGTCATTTTGTGTTTTCTGCTTTCAGCCGCAGTCGAATTAAAACTGCGATTTCTCAGTCACCAGTGGAAATTATCAATATGGACAATACACTCGGCCAGTTGACAAGATTATCGCTTTTTGGCAAAAAATATTTGGAGGTATGGATTTTATAAAAAGAAGTAAAGTAGTCTGGATTTAAAAAAACATTATAGTAGCTTCAATTCTTTTTATATTGAAAATAAAATGCATGCAATAATTTCATATTATATCAAATTTGACCGCTCCAGAAGTGCGTGTACCAATATGGAGGTAACTAATTTTGTTCGCCTACTTTACATCAAGTTGAGTAGAGGGACGGAAGCCTATGGGCAGTGGGTATATTTACTTGGCTGACACTGACAGTCCCCGAACTGGTAATAGAACTAAAATAACAATAATCGGAATAAAACTATGGCCTAACCCTAACCTGGTACATTTGACACAACATATTTAAGCTCATCGTCGTTGCAAACAAGAATAGGCTTTATCATCTATGTTAGCGATAGAACTTAGTCATTTAAAACCCATCCGACGCGGGAAAAGTGGCCTGAACAAAACGATTTTAAAACTAGCCCGTATGCGAGATTTAAGCATAAATTTTCACTTTTCTGGTTTTAGATCATTGTTCACCATGAACGTGGGCATGAGATTTCTTTCTGTAAATCTGTATCATTTATAATTCATTGAATACACTTTTCAATAGATTGAAGAAGAGAATTTTCGTTCTACAGTCCATTCCAAAATTGATTGTTTAAAACCACCAACTTCAATAAAAGGATTCGTACCAAATATTATTCATTACATCTTGAAGGATGAAGGATTTACTTACATACATTATCTTAGCTTTAGGTAAGTTGCAGTTTTCCTTACTCAACAAAAGAAGGTTCCGTGGCACGAACACTCGATCCGTGGCACGGGTACGCGATTAACCATAAACCATATACGATTCATGATCATATTGTAAAGTATACACAAATGCTGATTAAGTTGCCCCAATGGAAAAGATTTAATTATATTAATTGATGGGAAATTTTCTATTATTTAGCCCCAATTAAAACCTTCAAAATATCACAAGTGCATGTCGTTTAGCACATTTTCATTTCGTCTGGTCAAATTGATATCGGACTGCAATAAATAAAATCATCTCTTTTTCAGTTGTTGTATCTCTATGACAGGGTTTTCTTACATTTACGCACTTTATCTGTGAACCCCTGTAATCGCGCTGTGGACCCTGGGGGGTTCACATGGGCCACGCTGGTCAGCCCTGCCTTATGGAAATTCGTTTTACTCTAATATATATATAAGACTTTGTATGCGAATACTCAAATCTTAAACAAACACGACTTGCGCCTTGAGTTATTCTGGCATTTTTATTTTTATTTTCAGATCAGCAGTACAAAAATTGAAACCATGGGCAGTTCATGTGCATTTAGTGCAAAATAAAGAACCTGACAATTTCTATTGGATTAGAACGTTAACTGAAATCGGTTGCATCACGATCCATCAGCCTACCGGTAGAGTTCTCTTCACAAATGCAACAAAATCAGAAAGAAATATTGCAGTAACAAAATTAATGTAAGTGCTTACATTTCCTGTTTTACAAGCAAAAAAACAAACAGTTTAAAATATATTTTTCGTAAAATCAGTTCATGTTTAGTTTAAAAGCTATTTTGCACGTATATAGCCGCAGAAATAAGGCGGGCAAACTTCATAATATCTGTTTGAAATATGTTGAATTTTGTACACTTACCTTTCGTATCGTTTTTTTTTTGCTAGTCAAAGAGTATTGCACGAATATGGCGGTATTTATCTCAGTTATGACGTCATAGTCACGAGCACTTTTGAAGATTTATTAAAAAACCACGTTGTCATGGGAACGGACACTGCATATACAGGTATATATGCTTAACAATGTAAAACATTTATTCATTTACTGCTTTGCTGTAAATGCCTTTATTTGTCTTTTCATTATTTATTCCATGTAAACGAGATTATGCCAACTGAGAACATGCTATTTTACAGAAATTTGTCAATTTAATTAATTACATTTTCAATTTTGTGTAAAACGTATAAAACATGTCTAATTTGGGAATTTTTGCTTGAATTTATTCAGGAGACGTCAAAGTGCTTCTTTCGTCACCAAATTCTAGATTTTTATCAGAATGGTTTTCATGGAATAAGAATGATGTGATTTCGATCAAGAGAAAAATTGAGCAGTTAGTCTTTATTTAGCTTTCTTTCTCAAATTTATTATATTGCCTTATATATATATAATGATTGTATCCAGAGGATTCATGATTATTTACAACTTAAAGCATATTTTAGAAATACAGTCTATTCTATTACAAAACACAGTAGGGAAATATTCAAAATTAACCGCAGTTTTTTTTTATGAATTATAGGATAATGACCTCTGCGACTTTAGTGATTTTAACACCAACGGACTACAATGAATTTATTTACTGCCGTCTATTGAATAAAGCAAATTTTAACAGTATCGTATATATATATATATATATATATGGGAGGCATATTATCAACACAGGATTGTTTTTTATTCCCGTTTTCACCGCGAACTAGGCTATGATCAACTACTGGCACGTAGAGAACTACTATTTCCTAAATTTCCGGGTCTTTCCGGTTCGGTACGGCTTTTACCCTATTTATTACCCTACCCCTTGTAAGTTTGTGGTGTTGCATTTGAATACGAGATCTTTAACTCGCGATGTTAAATTAGTGGAAACTAACACTAAACTCACTCGGTCAGGGTGGACACGTTCCGTATGGCCCGCAGAATAATTTAAGCATACAGATATTTATATTTATTAACTGAATATTTTTGAGTTTTTGTGCTTTTATTTTATTAAATAAAAAACACACCTCTATTTTTAAGCGTGGGCCATGTGGCAACCAATCGCGCAGTATTTTGATCACTTTTGGGATTTCCCGACTGCGGCTTGCAATGCGCCATCAAAAATTTCTGCGGCCCTTCAATCTCGCAACCTAGGACCCCCTGCGACTAGATCATTGCTCCCACTTCATGCCATAATAGTGATCCAGGTCTTGTAGAAGCATAGCTCAATGGCATTCAAATACATGAGTGTATTCATAATCAAACAAATAAGAGTTTTCAAATTTCTAATGATTTTTACAGGTATATTGTACAGTATTGTCATATTTTAAAACATACTAGTGTTTTACCCGACATAAAATATTTTCAATATGAATGTCTGTAATTGCGTAAATGTGTTTTATTTACATTTGCATAATACATGCATGGGTTTATGTGAACAATCATAAACAACCATCATGATAAAGCGATACAAGTCTACTTTAAAAACCTAATAATATTGGAACTTTTCTAATTTACTTCTATTATTCAGATATACGGAGAATCATCCGAGAGAACATATTGTAATCGTGGAAAATTTTCCTGCTGTTTCGCCAGCAAAAGGATGGATATCTATAAACTTTGATTATGTAAACATCAAATGTTTTGCTGTTTTAGAACGGTAATTTTTATTATTATTTCAAATCTATATTATATTTATAGTCGAAGACTTATGTACTCGGAGTTATTGGATCTCTTTTCATTTTTATGTTGTTCGAATTTATTCGATTGTGTTTTATGAAGAATGTATATATTCTATATGCCCCGAGGTGGTACTCTAGTGTTAGATATACGAACTGAATGTACGCAGTGCCCGGCGTAATTATGCTTTCATGCTGTTAGTCAATGATTTTGCTTCAACAATTGTTGCTAAATTGCTGCTTTTATGAAGCGTCCAAAGTACTGAGAATCACAGAGAATTATAGAAATATTTTAAGAATTAAATGTCTCCTTTTTATTTTGAACTTATAATTGATGAGTGAAGTTTTTTTTTCATAAATAAACTTGCTGAAAGCAAGGCCACGCACATGCCCTCAAAAGCAAAAGAGCCTTTTTTCAGGCCAAGTTATGGGCTCCCTCTGTAGATGTAAATTAAGCGTCAATAAGTGCCGATTAACGCGAGACTTGATGCTGTTCAGGCCAATATAATCCGACAAACAGCTAGGACAGTGGTTCTCGAACTTTTTAAGCTGCGCCCCCTTACTAGAATTTGTCAGGTCTCACGCCGCCACCTTAAAAATACCTAGCTAATAATAAGCTATACAAATAACGGTACTCCTGAAGTATGCGCACCAAGATGTTGCATAATCAGAAACTTAACCTGATGCACAACCTGACTTCAGGTTGTGCGCCATCTTGGCGCGCATAAGGCAGGCAAGATCATATCTAAAAAATATTTTCAAATTTATTTACCTTCACGCCTCTACGCCCCCCTTGGTGGGTGCGCCCTATTGCTTGAAAGCCACTGAGCTAGGAGGTAGTGAATTACACATAACTTACAATGAGTTCAAATTCCAGGGATACAAAAGTAAAGCTTGACGAAGATACAGTGTACAACTTACTACGTTCTAATTCACTGACGGGAGAAATTGCTAGAATCGCACATTTTGGAAAACAAAGACTTGATGATTCGTTCAAAGAATTAGCAAATAATAATTGAACGGGAACAAAAGCATTGTTTTTATCGAATTTTACAAGGCATGAAGCTGATGTCATGTCTTCCTCGTATGTTTTAATAAACATGGATTGGGAGTCTAAGAGAGTATACGTGAGGGCGTCTAATTTCGATGCCCACTGCAATGATTCATATGCACTTAATAGCAAAGAGATATGTAGGGTGGATTTAACATACCACCCGCAGTCGGTTATTTCATTTGCTTGTCAAGTTTGAGTTTGAATGTTCTGGATTCTTATCAATCTATGAACAATGAGCAGCTTTGATATTGTCACGATTGTTGTACAACATAAATTTCCAAAACTCAATTCCACTGTATAATATTCACTTTTCAATAATATTTGTCGAGTAATAAACAATTTAGGTAATAGTACAAGCCTTGACTGTATTATGATAATTAATGTTAGATGGTCTAGTACTCTAGTTAGCTTGTACTGGTGAATTTTAGTGGTGTTGTTACAAATTTTATGCGCTAACTCAGTGCAAGCTATGGCATTTGAGAGGCATCTCTTTAACCATGACGACATGAATAACCAATTATAGCGTCATAACAGTCGGATTTTGTAAAATGTACTATGACGTCCTAAATAAATTTTTAAATTGCGGGAAATGCGAAATTTTAGTTACGGGAAAGATAAGTAGGCTAATCCACCAAATATATTGGATAGTATGTTGAAGTTCGAAACGCTCCAGGAAAACCAGAAAACCCGACATTATAACAACAGATTCTAGTCGCAAGAGGCGAAGTCATGGGAAATACTGATAAATAAAACTTTGCCTGTGGTAAATCCGCCCCTGGTTGGGGTCGAGATTGTCTCGCCTACTTAACCCGAAGTCTATATATTTGTTAACCATTTGAACATAATATAATTTATATTGCTATTCTACCTTGTTATCTTTTTATCATTAAAATCTTCACGCTTCTCGATAAGATCTATTTTACGACGTCGATAATTGCCGCCTGCTATATAACTTTTTGTTCGCCTTAATTTCTATACTACTGTGAATTACAGAAGATAAAGTAACATAACTTACGCCCGCCTTTTATCAAGTTTTAATTGCATTAATTGTCGTCGTTAATGTTGTATTCATAAGGTTGTGATAGGGTGAAACTTTTGTTCCTTACTGTGTATCGCCTGAGGGCTGACTAGCGAAGGTATCAGGGTTATGGAAATTGTCGTTCGGATTACTTTTATTAAATTTAGTTGGTGGTTGGTTTCAACATGCGGGTTATAATTATAGTAACGGCAGGTTTGCTTGTGTTTTGCGGTTTATTTGGAATATTCCAATACGGTCAATATCTGCGTAGATTTCGCTTTGATGCCACCGTCACAGCAGATTTCGAGGAAGATGTACATTATGGTAGTTTATTTCGTCATGGTTTGACACTTCGACGACCAAGTTTGCACAAATATCCGTCTTTTAACATTGGATCATTGGAAGGTACATATATTCCGTTTTCCAAAGTAGAATGCGGAAAAGATGTTTTGAAACCAGGACATAAGATTCCGAATATCGTGCATTATGTCTGGTTTGGGAAATTTAAGATTAATATTTTACAATACTACGCCATGAGGTGAGTTCATGTGAAATTCAGTTTGGATTATAAAACTGCATGGTTGAAATTTTTCATGTTCTTCACACAACACGTGACAATTCAGTGTCAAATCTGCTTGCAAATGGTAGTATAATTAAGTAGTTTAGTAGGGAAAATATTCTAATCACACTATGATGTATTGGGTATGATATACTTACAACGTTCTACAGTCGTTCTCTGCGTTAAAAACTATGTTTGTGAAGGGCGAATGTGTAAAATAGCCCCAAAATATTAGATTCATTTATAAATAATTTTATTTTGTATCCAGAACAATTTATTATACATTTATGTCTCAGGAGTGCTGCATTGATTCAGAAACCTCGGATGATTATATTCCATATGGACGAAGATGAGCCCATTGGTCCGTACTGGGAGCGATTGAAAGAAGAAATTCCTTGCATCAGAATCGTCAACTTGAAACCTCCAGATAAAGTTTGGCATAGACATGTGAAACTAGTGGAACACAAGTCAGATGTAGCTCGGTAACTACTTATTAAACACAGATTTAATAAATTGGCAAGGTTAACAAGATTTCAAGCTGATGTATAACAACTAACAAAAAGATTTCTCCTTTTCCACTCGTTCAGGCAAACGTAATCGTTAGTGCCAGTAGTTTGCAAGCTTGCGATTATTCGAATTGAGCAAGCATTTGTTTATATTGGAAGAGATTATCATCATGCTATTTGGTACTCCCGAAGTATGTAAACCAAGATGGCGGACACTGGAACGTAGTATGTGTACCAGGTTAGGGTTAGGCAATAATCTCAGGTACAAATACTACGGGAGTCACTTGGCTAGTCCCCGAACTTGTAATAAAACTGGAATAATGAAAATTGGAATAAAATTATGACCTAACCCTAACCTGGTACGCATACTACGTTCCGGTGTCCGCCATCTCGGTTGACATACTTCGGGAGTACCTACAATTCATCGTACAGATGGTTCAGACCTAAAGCTTTTTCCACAGGATAAGTGAAAAACATACTTACCATTGCTTTACATCCAAGAGTGGATTTTTTAAGTGTTTAGTCTTTTTAGATAACTTTTTTTTTTTTTTTTTATCAGTTGCTGTATAGGTATATTGCTCAGTGTAATTATTTGATACTTCCAGCTAACCAACTTCGAGGTTTCAGAAAAAGTTACGAAGTATATTTTAAAATTATCAAACTGTCTCTTTGTAGGATGAATATACTTTTAAAATATGGTGGAATATACTCAGATGTGAACGTGATGTTTGTGCGGCCCATGGATGAACTGATGAAATATTCTGCCGTTTTAGGAAAAGAGGAAGATCGATCGTACGGTGAGTTATTGTTCACTTCATAGTCGGGATGTTGTTCACTTTCCAAGAAAACAAACTCTTGAATAATTTTCTTTGAGTTGGTACTCTGGTTATCTACGCAAAATTTCTTACGGGGATTTCTCTACTCCTTCTCAACTAATCAGACTCTATACATTCTTTAACTAACACTCAAACAACTTTAAATGGATATCTTTAACTTTTCAATGAGCACATTTCTATGTCCAATAACTTGACTTACCATGTCTCCTAATGAAGTACAACTGAAGAGAAAAATATTATAGTCGGAAAAATAAGAATTGATGATTTTATGAGATGTTAAAGTCTTTTCATCTTTGCTTTCATACACTTCTATTGTTATAATCCCATACAGGTAACAGTTTCATATTATCAGAGAGAAACTCAAGTTTTATGCAGATATGGTTGGAATCCTACATTAATTTTGATTACACACGTTGGAGCGATCACAGTACAGCGATGCCCAGGAAGTAAGTTAATCTGTAGATATTTATTGGGAGCATTTTTCATACTAGAATACACGTCTCGTGGCGGATCAGTCAAATCCAATTTTTATCGTAGATATCAGGTTATACAGAATACAATTTTTACACATATTTCTCATCATATGGATCATAGATAGCGTGCACTGCAGAAACGAGATCCATGTTCTGACTGTAGAGAATAGTTACAGTTAATATATTTACAACTAAGGTTCATTTACCAAAGTAGTCTAACAAATGAAGAAAGTTTTCACGCATAATTAACTGTACTGTACTATTAATTACTGCATTCGTATATACTCATATATACAAAAAATATTTGAGTGTGCCCCAAATAATAATAAGTCTGTATGTGATATGGAATTTAACTATTGGTGATATGCCTTGCGAAAGTGCAAATAGTAACGTACCCAAGACTTTGTAAACTGGAGGTGTAGTTTTAGCTTTTCCTACTTTGAATACGACCAACAGTGGATATTGTGGCAGATCGCTCAGTAACTGTCTGTAGTCAGTAACAACTTGTGCTCTGATGTCACAATGTTGAAGGTGCCGCTAAACCGATACAAACAGCGCCAAACATTTCATTTTACAGCGATTGTTATTTTCAGACTTCACGAACAATTTCCAGAACTTGAACTTCACGTCGAGCAATATTCAATGATGAGACCAAACTATGTTGATGGTTCTGATTGGCTGTTCTACAATAACTGGGATCTTAGATACAATTATTGCGTCCATTTATATGTTAATGTACCGTGAGTATGATGAAGTATCTGTTGCTCTACACTGTAAACATTTACGAATTTGATAATTTGAGTAAAATCTTTTGTACGTGACAGCGGTATTTATTTATAATGGTAATAATAAGAACATTCGAAAAAACTGATACTTTCAGTAATGTCTTTAGTTCATTTAGTAATAAAAAGAAGAACGGCTACGAGAACAACGAACTAGTTTCCATGGCTTCAACTCAAAAGAGCAAATTATTAAAACGCTATTTTGAGAAAATGAGCAAATAGATATTTTTGATTTTTATATTTCTGTCACTTTTTATTGAACAATTTGGTTAATATTGCTTGAAATTATATGAGTGGATCAGCATAAAAAGTAAGTATATCTTTGCAATATTTTCAAACTCCCCATTTGGTCTCCAAACCCTTGGTTTTGTTTTCGTTGATATAATCTTTCTGCATCGATACCTCCTGAAACCCTCTTTTTCATGCCCAATATTGTTACCATTTTTCTAAAAAAATGTTCTTTTCTAGAGACGCAAAAGCATCGCTGAAGTCTATTCTCGAACTTCCGGAATCAGATTTAGTTACCATGGACAACACATTCGGACAACTTATCAGAATATCGTTATTTGGAACTCCTTATTTTATGGTGAGATGCCATGACAAATAACATAATGCATAACGTCATCGGACTTATTAGAATCCTATAGTTCCCAGTACTTTTTTCGATAAGTATGAAGGCGTTTTCGATGTAACTATAAAATAGGCTGTAACTCTGCTTTTCCACGATAATAGATTGATTTTCAATTTCACAGATAATAATAAAATGTCATTATTACCATATTATTGTGCATCGTGTACTCTTTGATATGAAGCCATGCATTTTTTTGTTCTACGTATAACAGGTAGATGAATTAGATACGCAGCTGATGAAAGCTCACTCTTCAATACATTGTAGTTCAAATGTCATCCAACAAAGTAACGACGAAATACCAAATGTTTTGCATTATGTTTGGAACGGAGATGAAATACGATATCATCATTATCTAGCAGTTCGGTAAGTATATTTTGTGGTCATAATTCCGTTGTAAAAATATCTTTGTCGGTTGGTATTTTGGACAAATATTTTGAACTATTTTAAACGCGCAGGAGTTTTCTTAAATATATATTCTTTAAAGTTGAATACAATTATTAGTCAATTGACAAGCACTATTATTTTGTAGAGTGGTTTTTCACTGTTTACTATTTATCCAGTTTTTTTCGCACACATATACGGATATTTTCCGATGGAGGTGGTGGTTAAAAGAAGTACCAACACCTAACTATACAAATGGTAGATAGGTTCCTCCCACATTTGGCTATACGCCGCAACTAACGACTTTTGTTACTGTTTGTTACTTTCCCATTAATTAATAGTGTTCTCATAAACAAAGTGACTTCCGCTTGCTCGCCTTACAAATTATTTTCACAAATTACTTTCCGTATTGGTATATAAGTATAAGTTTATTTCGACTCAAAAATTAACATAAAGGACAATAAAATAGATTGTTTGACGGTGAGTACATATATGTATTAAGTAAGGTTTATAGCGTGTACCGAATATAAGTTTGGTTTGGTCAAAAAGTAGTGGTACGTGTTTCCTCACCTGTATTTTATTTCAGATCCACAATTGAAACATTAAAACCTCAAGCAGTTTACATCCATGTACTTACCGGTTCAGATCCATTTCACTACGGCTATCTTTTGATGCTTCGAGAGATTGAATGCCTGCATATTGTAGATGCATCGCATTTACATTCGCTTGTCATGAATTCTGTGAGTCCACACCACTTGCAGAAGCTAATACCGGGGTAAGTCTATACTGAATATTCAATTGGAAGTCTATTATATCAATTTCTATAGCGACAATGGACTTTAAGACTGGTACGCTACACATAGCCCAGTCGGAAGATGGTCACGCTGAAGATCTTGAGTACATGATACATTTAAAAAATTGGTTCCCAACCTTTTTTTGAACGACCCAAAATGAAAAAAATCTAAAAATCTCTCGACCGAGAGATTTGTTTGGGTCACATATTTGCATTAGCGGTGATGGCTTTGCACAAAAGATCCTTCCTAAAATCAGATATATTTGAGCGGTTCCGGCGACCATGGTATTTCAAGCATGTATTTCATGATACCATATAAAATATACAGAAAGACTGAATAAATCGCAGTGATCGTGTAGATCTGATGAAACCATATCTAAAGTGGTTTGGGCAATGTATACTATTCTTACCACGTTGTCTGTAACACACTTTTCTTGTCACAAAATTGTGTTCCTTACTACTTTCCTTTATTCTCTAAAATAAAAACTACAATATCACTTCTATCAGGCTTCATGTCCTTTACAAACACGGTGGAATTTTAATGGATTTTAACACGACAATCTTCGGAACAAATGCACTAAAAGATCTTATGCTGAATGATTTTATTATAGGCAAATCAGCTGAGGAAGATTTCGGTAAGATCTGATTATAATCATTAACAGATAACAACATGAAGATATATGTATTCGAATTCTAGTACTAACAAAGGTGATACGGCACCAGTTATATATCCTTCTGTTCAAGATGATCAAAATAAAATTTTGGTACTCCCGAAGTATGTGAACCAAGATGGCGAACACCGGAACATAGTATGTGTACCAGGTTAGGTTTAGACCATAATTTCATATACAAATACTGCGTGAGTCACTTGGCTAGTTCCCGAACTCGTAAAAAGAACCAAAAAAAGGAAATTGGGAACTAAATTATGGCCTAACCCTAATCTGGTACTCAAACTATGTTCCGGTGTCCGCTATTTTAGACTATACTGTTTCCGATAGCAGCTATATTGATAATAATCAACGCTTAGGAATGACCTCCTTGCCATAATGTGTTATATACTTTCCAACAAACAAACTGTGAAATTTCTCGTTCTCAGAATACAGCATGATCATGTCAAAACCGCAAAGTGAATATTTATTTGAATGGATGAATTTGCTTCAGAATATTTCTTCGTTGGATGACATTGAAAATTCTCTTAACAGGTATAATACTATTCTATCCAATAACAATGTAAACTGCTTGTCTGGGGACGTCTGATTTTGGTCGGACGAAACGTTACAGAAATACATTTGTGTTAGTTTGCAGCTGGACAGAATAGTCATGTTTATTCCTGCTACAGCATTCTTGTAGTATACGCATACTAATCCACTAGCATAAAGGCATAGAGGAAAGATAGGGAGTTAGTCTTGCGCAATTCGACTCAAAGGTATAATACTGCCGTCCTTTAGAAAATGGTTGGTAATACTGATGTTCCTAATATCCGTTACCAATAAAAAAAAAATAATCCCGCAATATTGCAATGCAGGGGTGTGCAAGCTTTATTACAGGCGGGTCAGATACAAATAACTGGGTGAAACTACGGGCCGCACCTTTATTTAACTCGTGCTTTCTGATAGTTGCAGGCTAAAAAATTTTAGTTGTTGATTTTATGAAATGCGTTCTTCGCTTCACACAAGCTAGCTGTTAGGGCATTGCAACGTCCTAGGCATAGATCATGAATTGGACTCATGTAAATACTTTGCAACGCAAATGTATTAGAATTGCTTGCACATACCAAATTAAACTAAATTAAAACTCGTTTCGCGGGCCGCACACCTTTGGGAAATTGGCACTTCTCTCCGCGGGCCGCACAGGTTTTCCACGTGGGCCAAATGTGGCCCGCGGGCCGCAGGTTTCACACCCGTAATTTAATATTATTAGGTGGATTCTTCTACTGGCCATAAATATAACAATTTTTTCTTACCGTTTCAGAGCATTACAAAATTGATATCAATGAAAAAGTTTCTCTACTGGTAGTTTGTTGTCAATTCCTTCACCATCCTGGTTCGATGAAGAAAATCCCGAAGTTCCGAAAACATCAAGGGATTTCATTCAGAAACAGGTTGGTTTTCCTTTACAATGTTTATTTACACTTACTTATATGTTATTTGAAAGACGATACAATTCGAAAGACTCCACACAAAATAGGTTCATCTTCCACAAATTTTTGACGGTTTTTTTGTCAGAAGTCTCTAAGATGAGGTCAGATTTTCAATTTTATATACTTTTTTATTTGATTATAATAAACCATATGATTTGATTATAATTGAACATTGTTATATAATAATACAGACTCCAGAAATTACTGTAAATACGGCAGAACCCGTGGGTTATACTGGCGGAACCTTGGCATTCCGTAATGCTGGTTAAAAGCCACTGGTGTATCTATGCAAACTGAATGTAGGCCTAACGTCTCTCTAGCATCCACGGAATAAGAAAGTTCATTTTTTTTTTTCAAAAATGAAATATATTCACAATTACTGTTGATATAAATCTTAACTTTTGTGATTTCAAATATATATTTATTTTATTTTTCAGTAAATGGGATTCAATACCGGTCAATGTCACGGAAAAACAAATTCTTAAACAAATGATTTTCTTGGAGTTTTTGGAAGAATGGTATATTCTAAACGACACGGATAACTTAGAGATACGCCAATTTTTATTTATTTTTCAATATATTTATGTCTTCTTTCCTTATTTTGCATTAAAATTGATACCCGGAAATATATGTACGTTTTCCTGTGTGAGTTCATAAATCTCAGATGTTTTGTATTAAAAAATGTGTACTTTCGGTGAGTCGGTGATCGGCGCATTTTTGACAAGAATTTCAGGTCTATTGTATGTATAGTATAAGCGAGTGAATTGCTTATGTACGATTCAGAGTAACACTGGATACATTTAGTCTTTTTTCACTAGCAACGAGATTTCTCAGATGACCAGTGATAAATGACTTCGAACGAAAATTCTTGAAAGGTTTTATATAATTAAATATCGCAAATGGCAGAAACACATTCTTGGCAATCCGTTCTATTCGGAGAGAAATATCCAAAAGTTGGATAAACAGACGAAGGATATGATAATTAAAATGAAGCAAGTTTAATAATATATACTTACAAACCTAATAAGCATGTGAATATACTTTTAAACAATAAACATAAAAATGAATATAACATACTCTCAGATTTGAATGGAGCTTTCGGAACACCTGGACAGCACGGGCGCAGCTTTAGAGTGCCGGAACCCCGGTTAAAATTATTGCAATAAAACTAGAGCTGGGTATTTTCGAATAGGCATACCTGATTATTCAGAAATGAATCGAATATTTTTTTCGAATAGAATCGAATCTTGAATACTTGGGAGATATATAATTGTATGCGACTTTATTTATTGTAATTCGTCTTGTCAATAAATGCATTACTGAATACATAGAATACATCATTGTCGACAGATTACTGAGCGTTCAGGCACTATAATCAGCTTGTTTTATCAATAACTCACTACAGAAAATAAAAAAAATGTCCGAATTACGTTGAAAAATATAGCTTCAATAAAAAAAATTGGGTAATTCATCTTGGCCATTGGCGGAAAAAATGGCGGCAATTCGAAATTTTGCTCTGAACTGATTCGAATAATTTTTTTTTCGATTCGATATGCCCAGTCCTAACAAGAACATAAAATTATTACACCATCACATTCATCACAATACATATAGGTTTATTGCTACTGAAGCTAATTATAATATGAAAAGGAAATTGCAAGCATGATTGTCTTCTGGCAGAGTTGGAATTGCTTTTCCAAGCTAAAGTCGAAATCGGGTTTATAGCTTGAAAGTCTTCTAATGCTAGTAATACGGCTTAATCAATACGCCAGTTGTTAGTCTTCATTTTTCACTCGCTTTTTCTTATCTTAATTTCCACCCATTCAATGAAAGGCGTGTGGCTATTCTCATATTCGAACCATGATAGTCCTTTTTCATCTGTTTCATGATATTGGCCATTTAGGTTAGCGTGGTGGCAAAAGTTGTACCACCACCCCCCAGTGTATTTTTCTGCACAATGTTCCAATGGACTGTTGTCGTTATCCTGGTCTTTTGTAGAAAATTGATTATTGTTGTGGTGTGCCATCGAATCACCTATATATATATGGTTATCACATGCATATTAAAATAGGCGGAAATGAGGTACTTCCGAAATTTTTGAACCAAGACGGCGGACACCGGAACGTAGTATGTGTACCAGGTTAGGGTCAGTCCATAATTCCAGGTACAAATTTTACGGGAGTTACTTGGCTAGTCCCCGAATTCGTAATAGAACTAAAATAAGGGAAATTGGAATAAAATTATGGCCTAACCCTAACCTGGTACACATACAACGTTCCGGTGTCCGCCATCTTGGTTCACATACTTCGGGAGTACCGAAAATGATGTAGAGTAGACAACCTAACCGATAATTTCTCTCGGTATAGGCTGTGCAATGGGTGTAAATCGTACTCTGAAACAGTGTACCATCCCAACATTTTTTCCTATTTTAAGGGTAAAAAATCTTGGGCCAACAAAAACTTTTCAATCACCATAGATTTTCATTAATATAATCAATACAGCAAAGTGTCAATGACCAAACTAATCCTGTGTGTATTTACCAAATTGTCAAGTTGAACTTTCGAACCTTTTCTTAATTACAACCAGACCGTTTCTCAGGACTTATCTTAGTGTCCCAAGCTATTTTAGCCTCAAATTATTACTCGATGGATAATTTAGATATTCGTAATATTAAATAAAAGATAATATTTTTCTGACATTTTGTGTGCATGCAACATATTAATTCGTCGTCAAACGTACCTGCGTTTCCGTATAACGACCTAAAGTTATTCTGTAGCTGTCTTCCGCTCCGCAAGTTTGAAATTTCTGTGAGAACACATAATTTTTATGTATTGCATTTTTCATAGTAAAACTGAGTTTATAGTAAAATTATTTATTGATTTTAATTCTTGACATATTTGTAAAGCATATATATATATGTGTATAAACATTTTACCTATATTTCGCAAAGAGAGTTGTGTTTTCCTTAGTGAAAAAGTCAAATCGCACTTCATACGTAGAGTTACTTGTGATTCCATGAATATATTCAAGACCTGCGTTAAGGAAAATTTGAATTATTATTCTATTTAATTCTTGTTTTGCTGCACACTAATACTAATGTATTTCTGTAACAGGTCAGACTTCTTCAGACAAGCATTTTTACTGTCACAATCGCTGCACATTAACACAAATTTATCTCTGTAACATTTCGTCTGACGTTAATGTTGTTGTGCAGCAAGACTCAGGAATTAAGTAAGATAGTCATTTTTATTCTTACTACAGCATCCTTGCGTTTGATGCGTGCGGGACCACTTGCGCAAAGCATAGAGCGATGAAAGATAGTTACTCTCGCTTAACCCCAACTTATATTTACTGAATTATTATGTTTTCAATTAAAACTCAATAAATAATATGATAGAATTATGAATGTTTTAATGGGTACGAATAAGAAATAAGAAATGGATTACTGAGGGTCACCAAGTGAACGGACGATCTCATAATAACTGTAGTTTCTGTATTGTACGGATATGGTGACCGTCCATTTGAACCCACGTACATTTGAACCCATTCGTATATCCACGGGTTCAATCTATATGCGGGTGCTAAAACCCATGGGTTAGTATGGGTTTAACTATCCGTGAAACAAAAAAAATTTCATAGGTGCAATAGCATACAGGTGCAATTGTCATGGGTTTAAATGTACGTGGGTTCAAATGTAATGGAACCTACGGATATGGTAAATTTGTGGACATTTCTTCACATAATTTCTGATTAAAAATTATTAACATAATTTACACAGGCGGATATATATACAGGGTGTTAAAAAAGTACCGCAAAATTAAAAGAAGTTAAGATGAAATGCTACGTCGAACATTCACCGACTGACACCTTTTAACAGTATTGAATTACGTTGAAATGCCAATTTGAATATTTCACGGCTGACGCTTTCTAACAGTTACTTTTTTTAAGTTGCCATGACGAAAAATTTTACCTTAATTTTGCGTAAATTTTTAAACACTCTGTACGTATATATATACAACTAACCTAACCAGAACTCTCTTTCCTTGTAACCAAATCCTTTGACGTAATCGTCCCATACACGAAAAAAATCTTGACTTCCGTCAAGTCTTCTTTGAATAACCTTGAAACGAAAGAATGAGACTTTGAAACGACTTGAAAGGACTTTTTCAGATATTTCAACTTGCGATGTTTTAGCAGAAGAGATTTTTGTATGGCGCTCCTGAATTATGAGTACCAATATGAAGGTAACTAATTTTGTTCGCCTGTTTTACATCAATTTGTGTAAAGGGACTGAAACCTATGGACAGGCGAGATATTCACTTGGCTAACGCCGACAGTCTCCGAGCTCGTTATAGAACTAAAACAAGGAAAATCAAAACAAAATTATGGCCTAATCACAACCTGATACACATAGTTCGGGAGTGAGTACTTTTTGTATGGCTCTCCTGAACGCGAGAATTCAATTTAGCTATGACTGGCTGCGATCTTAAACCATGCATGGATTCTTACACAAATCGATATGAATCTGATCTTTCAATTCGTTTGAAGCATCTCTGATTTAATGGAAATGCTTTTTAATGCACTTTAATGCGATTACTGTTGTACTAAATTGGTATAAACATCTACTGCTATATAAGAAACGCTAAACAATTCCTGGTACTCCCGTAGTATGTTAACCAAGATGACGGACACTGGAACGTAGTATGTGTACCAGATTGAGATCATTTTATTCCTATTTTCCTTATTTCAGTTCTATTACAAGTTCGGGGACTAGTCAAGTGACTCCCGTAGTATTGGTACCTTAAATTATGGCCTAACCCTAACTTGGTACAAATACTACGTTTCGGTGTCCGCCATCTTGGTTCACATACTACGAGAATATCCATTTCTTTATATATATACGGGTAGAGAGTTCACTTACTATCCAACCTCCATCGTCTGTTTCTTGGTCACAATAAACCTGGATTCCTTTCCTTGATTCGAGGAACGGATAAATGACAAACGTTCCACTCGATAAGACATGTTTCTTGATTTCAATGCAGTCACGCGGGAACATGCGACCTAAAGTATAGTTGGAAGAATTTTTATAGCATACATTGCCAAGTGCAGTTTTAGGCATTTTGTGGCTTCTGAATCTGCCGCAAAACCATGGAGGGATTTCCAAAACCGTGGCAGCTATGGTCAAACCATGGTGGCTGCCTTTTTAGCTGCCACAAACTAATGGCGTGAGACGGGGTACCACCATTTCAAATTGAAAACCATGGTGCGTAAAATTGTGCTGCCACAAACCAAGGCATGTAGGCTGTAATGGCAGGACTGCCCCTGATGGTGACAAACTTTGGGTAAGTTAAAACATTTATATTATGGATACAGTTTTGATGGATTTGGGGTTAGGTTCAGGTTGGAGTAGATATAATTCCGCATAATAAACTAAAACCTGGTACATGACTTTGTCAATATACCGGCAATAGCGCCATAAAACCATGGCAAGAGACACCGCGGTTCGTTCGTGGCAGGAGCCGCCATGAAGTGGTAAGAACTGCGACTCTAGATTGCGTATAACAGGAGCGAGTCAATTGTTTTTTTAATATTGCTAGACGGCGTTGCAAATATCGTTTTTATAATACGATCTTTCTATTATCAGAAGTATATTTTATCACTTTTATTTTGTATTATCGTATAATTTATTTATTAGATACAGGTCCATCTTGTATATGCTTGTGAGTAATTTACCATTTATTTCCTCAATTTTACGTTCCAACTCCTGATTTCGTTCAGCAATAGCTCCACACTCTTCGCTAATAGAAGCAAGTGGTCCCGGAGGGCCAGGGATTCCAGGCTCTCCTTTTGGTCCCCGTTTTCCCGCAAAACCGGGGGGTCCCCTTTCCATGGAAGGCAATTCTTCTTCGTTTTGTTCGCAAGAAAGGCGACATGTACCAAGACTGATACTTGCTTGTAACTCGCTTGCAATTCCTAACAAGATACAAAAGCCAACAATGTTTTTCTGATAGAAATTTTGACTAGGCATGGTATCCACGAGTCATAAACAATAAATAGTTAGCAACCAAAAAATATGTTCTCAAAACCTTTAAAACGCGGCACATACACCACAACAGTGTGTATGAAAATATCCAGTTATATAATCTTTTTTCTATTGTTGGTATTCAACATTAAAACCCTTACTAAACAATTTTTTTTCGTGTATTGTAGGAATATAGCATTTTTCATTTATTTCAGCAGTTTTCTGATTCAGTTACCATCATTTCAATTAGAAAAATGAACGAAGTAACAGTTAAATGCTATTTATATTAACAAAATTAAGTAACAGTGGAAGAGTTGAAAGGTAGTCACCACGTAATCAGGAAATAACTTTGAATTAGGAAGTTATTAATTGCGTTTGCCAAAGTCGTACTCAGCAAAGTATTCCAAGATACCTTTTATAGTTGATTATTTGTTTTCACATTTGCAGATTGCCCATATTGGATATTTTGCCTGTTTATGCAGTATTAATTTTTGTATTTCTTTCCACAAACGATAATCCATGAAATAGTGATGAAATAAATCATCATACAAAAAGAAAATGAGACGAACGACGTCGCTTGTCAGCCGATTTTTCCAGTAAGCTCGATGCTTTAACCTCTCACCGATAAGCGACTTTCAACATTTCTCATGTAATAAATACAGTCGTATATTGGTCTTAAATCTTCCACGTTTTTCGTTATATGTATGTCGGTTTCTAGATTCATATTCACCTCTAATTAAGGTATTCCTATGATAGGTTACAGCTTGTTCGAATTAGTCACGTGTTTGTATATGTACAGAGGTCGGTTTTCCTTTACCTTCGGGGATAGAGTGCATAAAATGTATCTTGAATTTGCAAATTGTTTTGATTATCAAATCAATTAAATTTGCATTTTAGAGTGAATTAGGATCGACCAAAGTCAATAAACAAGCCTATGTTTTGTACAATTTGAAGCAGTTCAAGAAGTCACAAGTATCTTGTGTTATATCTAGGGCTAGGCATTTTCGAACACCTGATGATTTCAGAATCGAATCAAATATTTTTTTCGAATCGAATCAAATCTCGAATACTTGGAAAGTATGAAATTGTATGTAACTCTCTTATTTTATTAGGTCCTCCAGACACATAAATTACTGAAAATATAGAATACATCACTCAGGCAGATTCCTGAGCGTTCACACACAATAAAAAACCCGTTTTCATCAATAACTCACTATACAGAAAAGAGTCATATTTCAGAATTGTGTTGAAAAAATAGGGCTTCGATAAAACAAATTGAGAAATTTACCTCGACCATTGGCGGAAAAAAAAACAAGAAGGCGGCGATTTGATATTTTGCTTTAAACCGATTCGAATAATTTACTATTCGATTCGAAATGGTATATCCAGTGTCCACATGACGCAATACTTCATGTCTTATAAGACGAACTGATTTCACATTTGACCCGATGTTTCTTAATTGAATCCAAATCATTGAAGCACTTATTTGAATGCATTATGTTAATGATTTAATTAGTTGCCTTTTTGTTCAGAAATCGTCGAAAACAGAGGCGCAAGATTTACTTTGTTCTTTCCGCCTATCAATTATTGGCGCCATCAAAAGAGAAAAAATCCATCCTCGATTCACAGAATGCCTCCCGAATAATTACTTGTCTTGAGGCTCTAGTCGTAACGAAAAAATGCAGGCTAGATATCTTTCGGGGCCAAATGAAAAGATAAATCCAACACACTCTCACTCTCATACTTGTTCGTAACCGCCGCTATAAGGTAATTTAACTTGATTAAGTGGTTATTTTTTATGGTAAGACCTATTTTGTTTTGCAAATTACGATGCCAAGTTTAATTGGTACTCCCGAAGTATGTGAAGATGGCGAATACGGAAACGTAGTATGTGTATTAAGTTAGGGTTAGGCCATAATTTTATTCCCAATTTCCCCTATTTTAGTTCTCTTACGAGTTCGGAGACTAGCCAAGTGACTCCCGTAGTATTCATACCTGAAATTATATCGTTTAATTTGACTGCTTCTTGAAGTTAGATATTTAAACTGCTGAGAACATGTTTTTTTGTAAGTTCTAGGTTTTTATATATTAGATAAATTTTGTATATTCAAGACAGTTTACGGATCTTACACACTACAATGAATGCTCCGAGATTTTTCTCAAACGTGAGATTTAAAAAGAAAAACATCCAACTTATATTTTTCTCCGCTGTATGTACTTTGTTTTTCCATAAAAATGCGGACGTTTTTGGAAAGAGCAAGAAAATAATTCAAAATCAGGAAACGAGAAAACCATTGTATTGGAATCCAGTGATCAACAACGGCGTCGAAAACTTTGTAATTCTTCCTGATATAATACCAGAAGTCAAAAAACCTCGAATTTTATTGAAAAATGAATTGAACCTGGAAGAAACGAAAAGAAAGCTTCACAGATATCTTTCGAATGCAAATTTTATGGAAATATCAAAAAATGAGATTCCACCTTATTCAAAAATACGCTGTCGTGAAGATCTTGGTCGAAGGATTCCAAATATTGTTCATTACGTCTGGTTTGGAAAATTGGAATTGAAACTTCATCAATATTTATCATTGAGGTGAGGAAATGTTTTGATTGATGTTTAACAACATGACAAACAAACAATCTATTGTTTGATTCGCGCATCGTCGCGCCCTTTGCAATCAATCTTTAATTAGATTCAAAATAATCGTATTTGTCGGTTTCGGCATTTCTAACCAGCGATACCATATCATCTGACGTGTTTACGCTGATCTATGATTATTGCCAATATTATATGATATTACATGTGTCAATATTTTTTTATAACACTTTGTCCAAGGCAAGGCACTCGCTCTTAAACAACGAAAACTGATCAGTATAAGCAAAGACATGCTGGTCACTAAAGTTCCAGAGCTATAGACGCTGCATAGAATTAAAGCGATAAATTTAACGCTTTAAATATTGTCAATTTATCAGAAATTTGAAGGAATTCTGGTGAGTACTCCCGATGTACGTGAATCACGATGGCGGACACCGTATCGTATATGTGTACCAGGTTAGGGTTAGGCTATAATTTCAGGTACAAATACTACGGGAGGCACTTGGCTAGTTCCCGAACTCGTGATAAGCAAAATTGTAATAAAATCATGGCCTAACTCTAACCTGATACACATATTACGTTCCGGTGTACGCCATCTTGGTTCACATAATTACCCTCGGGGAAATACAGTATTTTGGAAATTTTGCAAATGAAACTAATTATTTTACAGCAATACTATAACGTGATATAAACAAGTTGGATATTTTTGTTCTCTTACCACAGGAGTGCTGCGTCCATTCAGCAACCACAGAAACTATATCTTCACATGGACTTGGAGAACTCACCTACTGGTCAATACTGGGAGAGACTCAAATCCGAAGTCCCGTGCTTAGAAATTCAGCGCCACAAACCAAGTGAATTCATTTACGGTCACAGGCTTGCACATGTTGAGCATCAGTCCGATATTTTGAGGTAGAGTTTAAAATGATTTATTCCTGCGTGGCTATTGGGCTCTGATGATTGTTTCATGACAAGAGACTGAAAGCAATGCTCTAATATATTGAAGGCCAAAGGTAGTATCCTACAAGTATCAAATTATCCACAGTACCGGTAGTCTTCTCGACTTTGAAAGACCACCCTATAGCACTAAGATGCGAAAGCGGAACCACCCCTTGGTGTGCAATTTCTAATTGTGATGACGTCATCACACAAATATTCATAGTGAAAAACGAATCTCATAAAACTTTTGATATGAAAAAAAGCAATAGACTTCTAGCGACAACAACAATTTTTACCTACTGAAAATTTCAAAACAATTGGTACAGTAGTTAAAGACAGAAGTAAAAACAACATAATAATACCAAAACGATATATATATGGTTCCACTTTTTGTCCAAAACGCACATTTATTTCATGGGCGACTGTTCTACCGAGAGCATTAAAATTTAAAATAGATTGTTGCATTATTCTTTGGGTATACTAAAGTTAAACTGTAGAGTGTAGACCGTTCCGTTATCGTTCATTATTTTTTCTGTGACCCAACTAGACTAAATAAAGTTATCGTCGACGAAATGCGCCGATGTACTGGGATCCTACCGGATTAGGGCCATTGCTCGCCAGTTAATATCGATCAACTCGAGACTTAAGGATCAAGAAGATAACTGAGTGGCTGTGTAGCCCTAAATAAAATGGTGTTTATTCAGAAACTTCATATTTGCAATATATTCAGAATGCAAGTACTTTACGATGTTGGTGGAATTTATCTCGATATCAACGCATATTTCGTGAACCCAATGGATAATTTGATGAACAATTCATTTGTTATTGGCAAAGAGAAAAAGGGATGTTACGGTAAGTTACATATGTAGTTAGATCATTGATTATATTTGAGATAATTGATTAAAGATTGAATTTTCTTCACTTTCATAATTCATTTATAAAATAAAATCTTGATTATATACAACTACAAACGGTGTCCTACTGACGACGCACACAGCAATTTTAAAATCAATTTTTAATATTTCCTTTATTATACAATGCAACTGTGTTAAAGGTTTCATGTTGTTTTTCTGTTTGATAGGTAACAGTGTAATGTTGTCGGAACCTGGCTCGCCATTTTTAAAGTTATGGTTTGAAAATTATCATAATTTTAAACCGTGGGAATGGAATGAACACAGCACACATCTTCCTGTTAGGTAAGTTAGATGGATGAAGATTTCAATAGTTTATGATATTCTTGTGCGCCACATACACACTGTTTTTTATTTAGTTGGACAAATGTAACAATCTAGAATGTGAGAAAAAATTTGAGCAATAAATAGGATATGAAATATTAATCAGATTTAAAATGAAATGCAAATACAATATTTATGCAATTATTTTGTGCTGAAGTATTTACTAATTATGCTGTCTTCTTGTGAATATAATATAAATCAATTGTAAGTATACTTTATTTGCATCTATTTTTGACACACCCTACAGTGTTTCTTAATGGGCACGAAATAGACAGATTTATGCAATTTTCGTGTCATTGTTGTTGTTATTGCATATTTTCATTACTTAAAATTGGGAAAAGTCACTAGAAGCCTGTATATATTATTTTTTAACAATTTCATATGAGCCATGTGAGGTGTTTCTATTTTACTTTAATTCATACAAACACTCTTACCAATGCACAGACTTTGTGTTATTATTGTTCTAGCATTTCTGTTACATTTCAGACTTCATGAAGAAAATCCTCAAGTGGAGATCTACGTTGATGAATACTCTATGATGAGACCAAACTACAAGGATGGCATGGAATGGATGTTGACGAGAAACTGGGATTTATCTGATAATTATTGTGTCCACCTCTATGAGAATAGTTTGTAAGTATATATAATAATATTAACTACATATATCATTTTTTTTTATTTACGAAAAGATTTTTCCAAAATCGCGGAGAAAAAATGATTTTTGAGAGAAACGTGCGTTGCCATGATTTAATATTATCAATCCATTTCAATTTGAGACTGAAAAAGTGGATGAATTGCTGTTGTATGTTTAGTTTTAAAAAGTAGTAAATATTACACAATGCATATTGTATAAATGTCTGATAATATTTTATGACAATTACGGTATTCTAGCACCATTTTAAAATTAGGCCACCGGGCACACGGTTGTGTAACTCTCACAACATCATCTCTCACAACAAGAAACATCGCGATTTCTATTACTTAATGCAGTTTAATCTTGTTTGTAGTATCGACAACAATACTCACTGATGTAATCATTTTATTTTCAGTGCGTACCACGCAAAAATTCACCTAATTTGTTAAAATCCCCTTTCTTATTCAGCGAACTGGAATACGCTCCGATACTTGCAATGTCCGAAGACGAAATGATTAAAATTGATTCAACATTTGGACAAATTGTGAGAAGATCATTGTTCGGACAATATCACATCAAGGTAAGAAAACTGCAAACGAATTTATGTTAAATATATTTACTCGGGCATACAGCTGAGATGCATTGGTGTAAGAATCAATATTTAAGATGCGCAGATGATAGAAGGTTTTGCCGATACTTCATAGGTTTTGCTGCACGGTACTGGTTTTAAAGCGTCTTTTTTCACACTAAAAAATGCATTTTTTACTTCATTCTATATGTACAATGTATGTTTTCAGTGAGGTGAAAAAGTACATTAGTGATTATTACTTACTTATCTTGGCAAAATTTAAGATTTCGCGATTTGATTTGTAATGATGACATTAATAGATCAACACTTGTTGTATACGTTATCTTGTATAAATATTGGCATCATTTGAGAAACTTGGTTAAAAAAAAAACTGAAATCAATTTTATGTGAAGTTTTTGTGAATTAAAATTAGCACGATGAAAATAATTTGGCAGTTTTCAAAATACACACAAGCAAAACAGTTTATATAAAACACCATAATACTTATTTTGAATAAGCATAACACTTGTAATTTTTAGGAAGATGAAATTCCCAAATCCATAGAGAAAATAGAATGTGCGCAACCTACAACGAGTCAAAACCGAAGAATTCCGAATATTCTTCACTTTATCTGGGATGTTCAGAAGTTCAATTACCATAATTATCTCAGTATCAGGTAATCTATATACAATTTCAATAAATTGCGTTTTATAAAGAAAAATCACTTTTATGGGTGAAAGTAAGATAATTGCCATACTTTGTATTTATATTAAATTAAATGAAATTTTGCGCATTGAATATGTCAAGTTAAAACAACAATGTAAGAATGGTAGACAACAGTGGTAACCGGAGTCGAAAAATTAAATACTTCCTGTCGGAGTCAATTTATTTCTATTTTTAATGGCGATAATCGGAATTAAAATATCCGAGAAAACCTTTAAAAGCAAGTCGACCAAGTACTTGTTTTAAAATTATCTGATAGTAGAAGGAGGCCAACATTATTCAAAATATTTTGTTATTAGTGTTTCGTTCACTCGAAATTCGGAAATGAAGTCGGAGTCGAAATTTTTGTCAACCCGAAGTCAAAACCGGAGACGCATTTGAAATGGCTCCGAGTTGGGAGTCTGATATACAATCTTTCTATGTTTAGTTTTGTGTTATATTATTTTACAATTTACACCACCGCATCCAATTCATTACAGATCAGCAGCTCAAGTTTTTAAGCCATCTTCAATTATATTCCATATTCTTGGAACAGAAGAACAAATTGAACAACCATTTCATTATTTATGGGTTCGACTTAACCATGAAATCCCATGTATCACAATTCATAGATTTAAGGGTGATTTTGGAAAATTTAATTCGAATTCGGATCAAGAATACATTTTTAAAATGAAGTGAGTTTGAGGTTTTTTTCTTAATGTTTATCCCAAAAATTATCTTATTTATGATTATTTGATTAGGCAAAGCGAGGCTGGATTTCATCCTTGAGGTTCTTAATGAAAATTGATGTGTGATTTGTGGGGTTCGCTACTATTATATCTTTTTGAAACTTCTCAAAAAAGTGCTCAAAAAACTTTTTTTCTTGAGGCATGGGGTACTTTCTCGAAAACCAATGAACCTATAGCGAATAAGCAAACTGAACTTTGTTCTTGTCATACTAATCAAAGCTCAAATAAATTTCTCAATATATATATATATATCCATTTATCACTTTGATACTATCTCGTTCGAGTATCCATGTGGTCACTGCGATATACGAATTCGAAGAAGTAGCTAAGATAAGGAGAAAGGGCAGACAATTCAATATACAATTAACTAATACTTTATATACATATTTCATTTTATTTTTTCAGGCTGAATGCGGTGGTAATGTATGGTGGAATCGTATGGGATGTAGACGCAGTTGCTCTTCGTCCTATATTCAAAGATATCACTGATTACGGAGCGGTAGTTAGTTTGGAAGAGAGGAATGCTTGTAAGTACGTTTTATAATTGGCATAAAACTTTTAAAAATCAATCATATTTTTATCAACTATATCATTTAACAATTTAGTATCCAATGTTGTTATTGCCGGAGAAAAGAGTTCACCATTCCTACAAAGATGGATAGATCTTATTGAGGAGAAAAATCAAGAAACCATCCAGGAACTAAAAATGTAAGGAAATTGAATTTTTTTATGAATTCTCAATATTAAATAACAGTTAAATGATTGTGACCCATGATTGTGAAAAATCGGCCACTAAGTCTTTAAAAAAATATATTGTTTATGACTTATGTAACTTTCCTTTTGCTCCTACTTTTGGTATAAAAATGTAATATTTCAATTATTCAACCGCTTCACGTTTGTGATTCCAGGATTTATCAGTAAAAGTACTAAAACACTTCTCGTAACTTAACTGGCAGTTTTATTTTTAGTATCTATTTTAATACTTTTAGCATAGTATGACAATGAACAGAAAACGTGGAAAACATGACCTATTTAATGATAATGATAAATAGATACATGACAAATGGAATAATCAAATGTCCTAATATGTAAATGTGTTCGTCTATATCCACCGTTATATGAGATTCACCTTTAAACCGATATTGAGTTTTAAATAGGGTTAATAATATTTATCACTGTATTATGTAGAATGGCTCAAACGATGCCGGATTTAAAAGTGAAGATTATACCATCTCCACTGATGATGGCGCCAAAGAGTTGGTTTTTAGAAGACATAGACGATTTTCGACAGCAGAGGGCGTCAGGATTCTATTTCAAATATTGGTAAGATTGTAAAACACAACGTTCGACAGTGTGGGAAGTAATTACTTTAATACAAATTTTAAATTGCCAATTATTGAGTATTATAACCCTCAAAGACATCCATCAATGTCAACTTTTGAATTTACCTAATGGCCTCTAATTTTCCTGACTCGTTTGAGAAATATTATGCGGGGAAGGAACACTGTGAATTATAAGTAATTTTAATATGACATCGTGAGAGTTGTAACTGTGTTCAATTTAGTGCTGGAACCAACTCGTTTGCCTGCACATGAGACATAACTTAGTTAATTCAGTTGTAGAATACGATGCATTGTTTGCCCACCCTGTCATATTTAAGTTTCGATTACACTTTCTAACTGTGGTTCTACGAAATACTCACAGGCTCAACCAAAACGAAGAAGATATTTTGAAAGAAAATACAACGTACAGCAAAATTGCCAGATACATATCATACGGAAATTATAATTCCGTTCTATAATACATTAGTTTGTTATCTATCTTTTATTTTAAATCTCGTACAATCATGGAGTTTAAAATGTATTTTTGTGCTTCCTTTTTACGTATTTCAAAATTTAATAAAGATTGTGCAAACGTTATATTCAACAATACGAGAAATGTTGTTATATGACTCTTACTTTGGCTTTTTTTCTTCATATACGGCATAAACGGCCACTGATATCTCACGATGTAGTATTTCATTATTGTTCAGTCGCAGCATATTTTCTATTTTTGCGATGCCAGTATTAAAAGATAAAATTTGATTTTTCGTTCTATATATAGAGCAAAAGGTAGTTCGCTTGATTGCGGATTTGGTCATGGCACCTTCCGATCACTATGCGAAGTTCACGGCCAACTATCCATGGCTGAATCAAGCATTAGGCTACATTCTCACGTTTTTCTCCTATATTGAGCAATGTTCAAGAAACTTTTTGTAGAAAGCTCCCGCCAGAAATAACACCCCACCACCGCTAAGGTGGTGAGCGCAATCTGCAGTGCTTGAAACGTAGAGGGGTGTTTTTCTCAAATCTCACATTTTTGTATTAGTGGCGGTGGCTTTCTGCAGAAGGTACGTACAAGTGGCAACGGCCTAACAAAAATCCGTTGCATTGCGCTAAACTTCGAAAATACACTTCAATCGATATTTACACGCTACTTAGAGTCACCTACTGTCTCTATATGTAGATATGTTCATCGGTTTTCTGCTTCTAGTTTTTGTTTAATGTTAATTGAAAGTAACTTGTGAATGAGTAAAACTAGAAATCATCAATAAAATAGTCAGCTAAAGCTAATTGGTTTTGCTTTTTATCTAATATTTTATATTTATACAACCAACAAAAGCTCCTAATCTGGCATGAGGACGTTGTCAACTTATATATGAAATTAGTCAGCATTACGATCTGTACTTCTATAAGAATTAATTGACATTAAATTATAAAATAAGAACGATTGCATCTTTTTTGAAAAAAAAAACTGTGAATCCCAAGTTTTAATTTATATTTTGCACAATTTGTAACACCATTGTTGTCAGTACTCTAAACACGAATTTCTTAAAATGGGGTTCGAGTTGCATTTTCTCGCGTGTCCACCCGTCCCCTTTTTGATGGATTGGGGGCTCGCTTAATAAACCGTCTTAAACACTGTACGCATCCATCAGAGAGTTTCATCGATTCATCAGTAATCTATTAGCATTTTTAAAAAAGTGATTGCACTCTTTGTAAGGTACAGGCCATTAACGTGGGTGCTAGAGTGAAAATAAAAGTGCTTATAGTTGACCAAATATAAACAAATAATAGAATAAGAAAGGTATGTTGATGGTAACGTGGCAAAAACGATTTAGACTGAACAAGCATGATTCATAGAAATACAGTTGTTGTTTATATGATTCTCGCTTGTTCGAGTAAGTTAAGTCAAAGAACCCAACCAGACACCTGGCTTTAGGGTCCACTGTGCTACTGTTTGGGGCAGTAAGCTAATTTATTTATCGACTATAAGCCCTTGTCAACAGATGCACTTATGACCCACGCGCGCAACGCCTCCTACCGGAACACGACAGACTGCGAGGGGTCCCCTCGATCACTGATAATTTGATGGAAAATCAGAGTGTAAAACGACGATTTTGGTGCTTCTAGGTTTACTCTAAATGAGAGTAATGAAAATTGCAAATAGTACGGGCGTGACATTGATGAATAACCTATACACAATGAAGCCATAGAAGTTTAAATTTTCTGAAAAATACTAGGAGATAGAAATATGTAGAAATTTGGATAGAGTTGTGAGGGTGAAATTAGGAATGCAAAAAATTAACTCAAATATTGTTAATAGTGCTGTAAAAACAGATTGGAAAATAAAAAAATGATTTTATAAGCAAATTATTAACAATAAAATTCCACTCGCTTGGTTTTGTCAATCATTGGCATAGTTCCAGATCTTATCTGTATTTTAAATTATTTGCTTTGATTAAAGAAAACTGCCAAACACGTACAGATAGTTGACCTGAAAGTTTGTAAATACGATTACCATCATTCAACATGATTTGAATGCTTTAGTAAATAAAATAAATAAATAAAACTGAAAGAATTATCTGTTATATGAATTCAATTATTCAATTCATTTTTCCAGTCCAGTCCTTTTTTCATAATAGTGGCACAAAAATATTTACGTAAAATTGGATTAAATACAAATATAATCAGAACAGACTCATCTGAAGGTGATGAAAGATTCAGATAAAAGATAACCATAACTAATTAACCCGATAGAAATATGCCACACCTTTTCCAAAATCAAGTAAAAAAAGGAGAAAGTAAAAAAATTCCGAAAAATATTTTAATTTAATACTTCCCTGTAGATACCGATGGAAACCAAGAAATAGATTTTTAATAGGCAGGTCGACGATGAATCCAATCCACGATTTGTGTAGAATGAACAACTGAATTGAAATCAATAAAAAATCAAACCGACGTTTTTGATCTTTGTTCACAAGTGTAAACATTGGTCCGCAGCGTACCCCCAATGGAGCATTCCAGTGGCTTTGGAAACCCCTGTGCAATGCCAGTAAAATATAATAAGAATCGCATACACTATAAATATATATAAAACCAAACCTAATACTGGCAAAACAAAATCATCCTTCAAGTGTGTAGAAAATTCAATATTGTCGGCAAACCGGATAGGCATTTGACTATGTTTGAAAATATACACAGAATAATATAGACTCCCAGATTGAAATGTAAACTTTCTGAACCCTTGGACTTTACCAGCGAAATCCTAGGGTGCCATGGGACCCCGGTTACAACCCACTGGGCTATAGACTTATACTAGAAAGATTGTGTGCTTTGCTGAATTTGCAAAAGCTAATCCAGCGCTAACCGTGGTCTCGATCTAGGCATACCTTGAAAAAACTGCGAGTAATAAAACATTAGGTATGCTAAATGAGCCTTATAAAAGAGAGTTCAACTCTAGCAGTTCTTGTACAAATTTGGTGCCGACCTCACTTGGTTAATATGATTCCACAATATTATCAAGGGTATGGTTGCTACCCCGATCGTCAACATCCATGTTTATTTCCGTACCTGTGGCCAACCAGCAACATTTTTCAAACAGATCTTCAGCAATGGTAGTACATTATAGCTGGCTTTCGTGGTTTTGCATGCTATTTGACGGTTTTTAGTTATGTTTCCGAATCTTAGGCATTAATTAAACAACTCAATTATCATTTGGATTTCCAAAACACAATAATTGCAGTAATTACAAAAAGGGTCCCGGAAAAGCTGCGATAGAATAGTGTACAATCAGATTCCTGTGGGATGAAGGGGATTACCTATTTTGACTAGAAACATGTAAACCAGATTGTAAGCACCAATACTCGGAAAAAGTGCAAAATGAGCATCAGGAACCTTGCAATGGTGAGGTATAATCAAGGGTCAAAGGTCGGGGAAACATCAATTAACCTTATCATTACAACTTGCTCGTGACGCAATAATAACACAACTTGTTAAATCACCTAAAAGGACTCACTCAGGTTTTTATCGCAGTTGTTTCAATTACGAAGAGGAAACATTTGTCATCAGATTCAAATGATTCATTATTTTGTCACAATTATCACTATTTCACTTTTGATAATGGAACAAAATGAAGAACGTCGTTTATTATTGACGGAGATGTAAAAATGAGGTCGTCTGTTATAATTTCCACGGCCTGTAGAAACTTTATGGTCCATTAAAAATTCGTTTAGCGGACACATAAAAGAAAATTAAAAGAAAAGTCTTCTTCCTTATAGAGAACATTTTTGGCCGTGTATAAATATCAATGTGGCCAAATAAGAACTAACATAAACATATCATTTGTATCTCGATTATAATATTTCTTGACAGCGATAACAAAAAATATCTCGAATTGAAAACCCCAGATTTCCGCCCAGCTCCGGGTTAAAAGTTGAGAACACGTTTCTAAAAGGTTACACTATTGTTGTAAGACATTGGGTTCTTTTCTCCTCACCCCAATTGGGCGGTGTACCATGAGAGGTATATTGTCGAAACCTATTGTTGCTGCGTTCCTATCTTTTGACTGATCTCGATTTGATTTTGTAAATCCCTGTAAGACAGACATGGATAACAGATGGACTTGAAGATTTTGACGATTCTCATTTGATTCGTGTTTAATCCAGTGCAGTTATACACTTTGTAAATGCTTTCTCACGAACGATCTCACACGACCAAACGATTCGAAAGTTCATTTGATTCGCCACCATAAATTACCTCAGTTTTAAATTTTAGCTTGGGAATAGCGGCTAAAGTTTGCTGAAAAAAGCCATACTCTCTTCTGAAGTATGCGTTACGCAACTTTCTGCACAGTTTTAAATTTTCGATTGTGACTTTTAACACATTTTATTGTTAGTCTTTGAAACCCAACTCTTTTGTCTTGTGATAACCTGTCTTTGCCAGTTCAAGTCGTTTGAAAATACCATCACAAATAGGAAAAGAGACCATTTACGACTAGCAATTGTATTTCCGTTTGAATATATTAATTTGAGCAATGGTTCTGTATAGCCAAGGTATCGTACTCAAAACTTCTATCAGCGAAGTTTCCAATTTTAAAAATAATTAGTTAGCAGGAATATCGTTACGCCATTTAAAAATCATTTGTAGTATTACAAATATTTATCGATGGAGATTAAAATTTACATCCGTTCTGATAATCTCTTATGAGAACTCTTTGGTCCATGGTAGCTACCAATTAGGCTCAGTCGGATAAAGTACTAACTTTGCAAACGGTTGAGATATAACAGATCAGGAATCTTCTCATGTATTGTCGGAGGGTCGAAGGGTAAACGTTTCCGCTTTGTTTGCTTTTAAGAAATATGACTCCCCATTTCGAGTACCGTCCACTTTTGATGGTAAAAATATCTTTCAAAAAATCAGCCATTTGTGAAAAACTTTAAAAATCGCTGGTGGACATAGCAAACTGGACGGCGATTTGCCTTTGAAGGTTTGAGTGGTCATCGACACCTACCGGTGTGGGCTCTGCTCAGGGGGCGGTCCGTGATAGGTGTCCATTACATGTCAACGTTTTGTCACTTATCAAGGTCTATCCTATTATTCAAAATAGCATTTGATTTTACAAGTATTACCAACCTGTTATCAAGTCAGGAAATAGTCATAGTAAGATGTTTTTTTTGTGGTCAAAATTTGGCCAAAGATAGTCTTGCATGTCGCACTCATTTTTCCATACAATTTCCATCTGAATAATGCACCTATCCATCACATTGACATCCATTAAACATAAAAATGGGCGTTTCTGCACGACTTCGAAATTTTAGAAGTCGTGAGAAAAATTGTGAAAGGAAGACCTTGTTTTAAAACAAAACCAATTTTAGGCAACCTTTCTCATAACGCTCACGAAAAAGATATATAAATATACACAATAACATAAAAAAATCTACATTACCATTTCATGTAATAAATTTTAATACACCGACATTTTTAAAATTGCAAATGTTAACATAAAGTACTAAATTCTTTTGTAAACAAAAATGAAAGGAAGATTTATTTACATTGTAGGTGTTGTAGAATCGTCAAAAAAAAAAAAACATTGAAAATTGGATGATGTCATGGCTAAAAGCTCCTGTTATTCTGTGTTCTTGAATTTTGGAAAATATTTTTGCCCGGAAGTTATTAGTTTTCAATCTTTCAGTGCTCGTTTTTTTTATATTATACAAGCAAGCCTTGTTATTTTTTGAGTAAAATCTCATTCACTGTGAATTTAAAAAGGTTGGGCATTTTAAAAATTTCAGAAATTCTGCAATATTTCATTTTATTTATGTAAATTCCACATATCTAATGAATTCAATTTAAACAGAAATGCAAAATCTTGCACATTCTTTTACTAAACAATTTACGGATTTTTAGGGTAGATCCACTAAAACAAAATGGGGGCAATTATCTTAAAGGGATAGTCTACATCGTAATGGGGGTCACGCAATTCAACCCTCACTCTCAGAAGGCCACCTACAAAGCAGGGGGTTGAATGTCCAACCAGCTGAGGGTTTAATTCGCTTGCAT